TTATCACAGAATCTTTTTTACTGAAACTGCTTATGATAAACATTTTACTCTCATGCGGATCAACACAACATTACTGTGAAATATGTCTTCTTGTATTATTGCAATACTGTAACTTATGTTGTCTTTGCAAAGCAATAAAATTTTCTTAAGTAAATACTGTTTTCAATGAATGCTTAAGGTGGTTTATATAACCAGACTATATTACTACAATAATACCGAAGAAATGTTTCGTAATCTTTTGAATTTGTTTCCATGAATTAAGTAATTGGATGGAACCCCTCCCCGGAGTTTTTGATATGTTGCAGTATTTTGAAACGATTTTACCTTTAGTGGAAAGCCTTTGATCTTCTTAACAAGCTGAGGTATATTTTAGGGGTGGTGGCGCTGCAGGAGGCCTGTGACTTCACCATCTTGGCTTTTACCAAGAAGTAGAAATCAGGTTAAAAACGCGAGAAATGTTAATTTTTTCTGCTTTACATAATGTTAATTTTTTTCTGCTTGACATGAAAAATAACACATAAGTAAGCACTTTGCATGATTTTAGCCACAAGATTTACTTTTATTGTTGAAAGAAGTAGAAGAAAAATGTATTTTCACCCAAAATTGGCTTGACCACCTGCTACTTATGACGTGATAGCTCGCAATCATAGCAACTAAACTTGTCTCAAAACGGCGCGAGGGATGAATGAACAGCTACCGGAAACTTGAGGTACTGATGTTTTATCCTCCAGGGAAAAACTTGAATGTCAGTGAATGTCAGTGGCTCGCTTCTTGTTGCTTACAATTTGACTGAGCGTTCTAAAGTGACGAGGTGCAGCGAATTGACGACGTTATACATTTTATTTTACCAATCGCGGAAATAAGGGAAGAGTTGAAATCAATCGTGATGTCTGTTTTACCGACACTGTTCTCTGATTTCAAATTTGATTTTTTTGCAATTATCGCTTTTTGTTGTGGTTGAAGTTGTTGTTATTTTGGGCGACCAGATATTTAAGAAACTCATGGTACAGATCCATGCTATTGAATTCCCAGTTCTTTCAAAGATTTGATCGCCCCATGTAAGGGAATCCAAGGCAGTCTTGGATTCTGGATTCCACGCCGTGGATTCCGGATTCCAGATACTGAGTTCCAGTCTTTGTCACTGGAACTCATTCTGGATTGCGGATCCAATCTTTTGTGAGATTCCGGATTTCTTGAGCTGTCGACCCGGATCCCAAAGCCCAGGATTCCAGATTCTACAAGCAAATGTTCCTTGTATTCTGGATTCCACAAGCAAAAATTTATTAGATTCCAGTTTACGAGACTTCTTAGGGATTACTATGTCTCCGCCCTTCGGTCTTGCTTTTATGTAGAGGACCCCAGAACAGGGAAAACAATTTGCCTAAAATGTAACTAAGCTAGCACTCTAACTAGCCGCGTCCCCTGCTGCTTTTAGCCTTTTCCATCTAGCCTTTCTTTTCCCAACCCTATTAGTGCCTATTATTTTTTTTATTTATTGTCAATTCGGGTCCACAGTAATTGGTTTATCTGTTGTGGTGACCCTGCCATGTATATGTATGTTATTTATTATTATTATTATTATTATTATTATTATTATTATTATTATTATTATTATTATTATTATTATTTGTTTAATTTCTTTGACCAAGTTTAATAAAATAAATAAATGAATAAATCCGGATCCCGGATTCCCTGACATTAGGCGGATTTGCCGGGCTCTCAGGAGAGGAGATGGAGAAGAAGCTGACGATTCGAGCGCTATCCCTTCGTCAGAGCGAATCAGGGCATTGTGGATTGCACACCGCAGGTTAGAGCTATATTAGTCGCACACATCACCCATGCCACAATTGCTAGATTCCCTCTGACGAGAGGGTAGCGGTCGGCTTTAGTCTATCTCCCTACTGGTTTGGCCAATCTACCTTGTCAACTAAGTAAAAAAAAAAAAAAACGATTATTTGTTTCACTCCCCTACCGACACAACCTCACAGAGTTTCTTTAGAAAGTAACCTATTCATTCATCCCAGTTATTTTAGTTGAATACGTATCAAGCGAAAATTTGCATCTCAATTCGCAGTTACTGCCCTCACCCCCTCACCCTAAAAGTCTCACAAATATGTAGTTTCCAGGCTTTCACTCTACTTAAGGTATCAGCCACCCTTCAGGACCGTCCGCGCGCGGATCGCTGTAGCGTTAGTTGTTTTTATAAAAACCCCTATAAACCATATATTTTTTAAAAGCTTAATAATTCCAGATTATGGATTTGAACTAACAAAAACGATTTACTTAAATGTGTTTCGAAATTGGAACGCTTTGTGTAAAAGTACACGTCTCTATAAATCATGTTCCACTCCCGCCGGAAATAAACGGAAGAAAACAATTAACAACGCATTCGCTTCTCAACACGTTCCACTAAAAAACCGTGTCTCAGATTTTTGACAAGTACGTCTGTTTTTCTTTTATTAGCAAATGAAGTTGGGGAAGGCAATTAGTCAACACTCCCTGTGGAAAAAAAGCTCTAGCTTTAAAATGAAAAGGAGTATTAAAATTCGCAGACACGGTTTTGTAGAAGAGATCTATGGCATCACTCTGGCCAAATTTCAGCCAAATTGATTGAAAGGCTGCCGACTTGGAGTTCAAAACGTACGAGTCGATCGGCAAAATTTGGGTTCGGAGATAAAATAGAAAATACATTTTTGGCGGCATCCTACCTGGAATGAGATTATAACACCTAAATGTTTATTCTGATTGATATCAGAGAGGGATCAATTTTCTCTAACAATGGGACTTTGACAGGTAACATGTAACAGGAACAAACTTTCTCGGCAAGCAAGTGAACAGTTTAATTCTCCGTTGGAAAACTTCCACTCTTTTACACCACGAGAAGCACGGTTTAATTCTTTCTCGAGCAAAAGTTTTGCCTCTCCTTCGATCTTTTTTGTATGATCCGCCCAGGCATTTTTGTTGATCGGCGCCAGGCCGAGGAAGCTAAGAAACTTTGAAGCCGCCGAATGTTCACCACCGATTGCTCGAAGGCCAAGAACTGAGGCCCGGTTTATTTCAAACGCTCTGCTCTTCTCGGAAGAATTAAAAACAGAATTTGTCTTGTGCGACGGACAGCTTTCATTCTCTCACTGGATTCTCCAGGTAGAACCAAGTCCATGCTTAGTCGCTACATTTTCCATGACTTGGACTCTTCCCTGGCAAAATCGACAAGATACAGACTCGTCCAGTTTCTCAAGCAACTTTTCCGCTCGATCGCTTATTGTTTTCCACGTTCCATCAGCAGATGGGGTCGATGAGCTTAATTGGCTTTCTTCATCTGGTTCTTCAAGCTGGATTTTGGAGCAGCTTGAACTCTCAGTAACTGCAGCATTTTTGCTTTTCTGAATATCCAACTCCTCGAGCCACTTCTCTTGCTGATAAAATGAGCCCTTATCGCTCTCTGCCAATTTTGCGGCCCATTCTTTGTCAAACTCGCTCTTCGATTTCTTTTTCGCTCTCGGTTTCGATGACGAAAACGGACACGACCTTTTCTTTTTTTGCGGCATTGTTACCAAAGCAAACGCTAAATATCCACGGAGAATAATACTGAAGGCTATAAACAACCCGAAGACAATTTGCACGTGTTGTGTCGAAGCACGCACTCGGTATCACGTTACTAGTACACAGGGAAGTTAATTGATATATGACACGGGTATGACAGATCTTGTCAACGCTCAATAAAGATAATTAACGAGAAAAAATCTTTTACCCCCGATATCTTTCGACAGAAATAATATTTTCTTCTGATTTTTTTTTTTAAAAGAAAGCTCTCAAGCATACCTATTTGAAAACGTTGAAACCTCAAATATGGAAAAATAGCAATTTTAAGGGTGGCTGATACCTTAAGTCAGCTATCATAAAAAAAATATTGCTATTATGGTTGAAAAAGGAACCGATTATTAGTTCCTGGCTTGAAAGCTTTTAGGGGCGCTTTATGCAAACAGGCCAGAAATTATCCAGAAACTATTTAATCTGGTTAGTTGTCTTTTCATTTGATGTTAACACTTTCTAAGTTGAATAGCTTGACTTAATGCCATGGAAGTGCCATTCCCTCCAACTGCTTTACCTGCCGAAGTACTTAAAAAAGAGCTCCTTCAACGCCCCGTTCTTGTGCGAGCCAAATTTTCTATCTTCCGTTCAACCAGTCGTATAGTTAGGGAGACTGTATACAGGATATATATTATTGCTTAATATGCGATATGATTTATATGCATCTAAATATTGCATGGCAGCCAGGGTAAATTGAACTGTTACAGTGCAATAACAATTGTACCCGACCAAGTGAAAACGAATCTGCTATTGTCAATATGCTATAATCTGTTATTTAGTAGGAACACAGCCAATTACAAAAATGAGCTCTGTATAACAGCTGCAGTTTAATAGTACGTTTCCAGGTTTACTTTTAATTAGCTAATATACAAAAACTGGGCGCATCAAACTTTAAACGACTTTTGTTTTCTTTCTGGTTTGTTTTGGTTTGCCTTTTTTTAGTCATTGCGGTTCTTTGAATTTCAGTAAATCGTCTAATTTCAAAGCCACTCCTTTTGGTAAGATTCCAAAAATACTTGGTAAAGGCTCCAATTGTATTCACACATACGGAGAACCTACAGCTGTAGATATGATGAGTTCAAAAACTCAAACTTGCGCAAGGTAATCCATCTTCGTTAAAAGTCCTCTGCACTTTTATTTCTCGTCGCGTTTAAATGGCAGAGACTTGAGTCTTAACTCACTCCTTTTGTATTTTGACTAACTCCATGAAATTAAAAGCTGCAAAACAAAAACTCCAAGCCCGGTTTAGTTTGGTGGTAAACATCTTTAATAATTAATCATGTACTCAGCAGCAACAAATTCACGAGCATCTGTTACACCCTAGTTTTGTTGATACATTTAACGAGTGGAAAATCATAGTGGAATCCCATAACAGTTTACTGTCATTCCAATTAGTGTTACTGGGAATTATGGAAAGAGGATCCTATTTAAAACTAGACCAGATTGATCAAATAGAAATAGAGCTGAACGAGCATGTACCTGCAGTTTCGCTGGTCGAGCCAAGCGAACAAAGTGATTTTGATGGTGCGCAGAACAAACGAATAGATTACGTGCTTGTTCATGAAATCACGAAGGACACTAAAGAGTTGGATGAGGAGGCAGCCAAAGCGATCAGAAAGTTTGAACGCTGGAGATATTCCTTTGAAAGATCCCTCGAAAATAACCTTGGGTTAATTTTACAACGCAAGATCGTCGACATTGAAGACGTAGGTGTACGGGTGATGTTTGTTTGGTAAATTTTTGTTCAACAACTGCAACTTCAGTTTGGGTTATGTAGTGCTAATTAAGAGTTCCTTCAGTTAAAATATACCTGGGAACTCCTATAATCTGTTCCAGGCGTCCAGGCCCGGGTTGCTCGAAGCACGGTTAGTGCTAACCAGCGTTAAATACCATGGAGACCTATACATTTTGACACCTCTTAACCAACGGTTAGCGCTAACCCGGCTTCGAGCAACCGGTCCCAGATCGCGCAAAGAGATGTGAACAGAAACTACTATCTGAACGCGTGGAACAGGCTATAGGAACTCCTCCTGAGCACTACTTAATAAATTTAGTGTAAATTTGGCTTTTGAAAGCATCACCTTTTGTTTGAAGTGAATAATAACAGGTTATAATCATTATTAATTAATTGAGCATCTTTTACTTTCTAGAATAGCACTCGCAGCAAAGATTTAAATACCAGTCATTGAGCGGCAAACCTTCTTCGACCATTTATTTAGATAATATAAACAAAACAACTGAAATAACAGCTGACATTTTGTTCCTTCTCCATACAATCAGTAGGAATGTTCTTTTTTTTATATAAAAGCACTACGGATGTTACTGGTTCTTTGCTGTTACTGCATATATGACAAAGTGATGAAACTATACTAATAGTAGTATTAGAGAACAACATTATTCTACCTTGACCTACAGTATGGTGTTAAGTTATGATTTTTTTTTGTTTCTCCATGTTTGCTTTGTTTCTTAAATTTGGCGCCACAACTCGTCACCAGGATCTCTGACCTTTTGTTACCTCGGAAACCGGGCTGAAATTTCTCATATGAACCCAAGGCGAAATTCGTCTCGATAAGCGGGTCATTCCGGTCAACCAGGTTCATGTCAAGAGGCCCTTAGCAGTCTTGTTTGTGCACCTGTCAATTTTTTCTTGATCTGTTGTTATAGGAGCCGGGAAAAGAGCGCCATTTTACTCTGATACATGCCCCATGGGAAGTCCTGGTACATAGCGCTGAGGAAATGAAGCTGAAAGTTCCCATCCAAGTAAATGACGTGGTTTTTTCAACTTGGCTAGAAGAACTTATCGGCTACAACAGGTATGAAAAGCTAATAAGAAAGAATCCATTTGCAGTACGTGATGACTCTTGCTGATAAAATGAGCCCTTATCGCTCTCTGCCAATTTTGCGGCCCATTCTTTGTCAAACTCGCTCTTCGATTTCTTTTTCGCTCTCGGTTTCGATGACGAAAACGGACACGACCTTTTCTTTTTTTGCGGCATTGTTACCAAAGCAAACGCTAAATATCCACGGAGAATAATACTGAAGGCTATAAACAACCCGAAGACAATTTGCACGTGTTGTGTCGAAGCACGCACTCGGTATCACGTTACTAGTACACAGGGAAGTTAATTGATATATGACACGGGTATGACAGATCTTGTCAACGCTCAATAAAGATAATTAACGAGAAAAAATCTTTTACCCCCGATATCTTTCGACAGAAATAATATTTTCTTCTGATTTTTTTTTTTAAAAGAAAGCTCTCAAGCATACCTATTTGAAAACGTTGAAACCTCAAATATGGAAAAATAGCAATTTTAAGGGTGGCTGATACCTTAAGTCAGCTATCATAAAAAAAATATTGCTATTATGGTTGAAAAAGGAACCGATTATTAGTTCCTGGCTTGAAAGCTTTTAGGGGCGCTTTATGCAAACAGGCCAGAAATTATCCAGAAACTATTTAATCTGGTTAGTTGTCTTTTCATTTGATGTTAACACTTTCTAAGTTGAATAGCTTGACTTAATGCCATGGAAGTGCCATTCCCTCCAACTGCTTTACCTGCCGAAGTACTTAAAAAAGAGCTCCTTCAACGCCCCGTTCTTGTGCGAGCCAAATTTTCTATCTTCCGTTCAACCAGTCGTATAGTTAGGGAGACTGTATACAGGATATATATTATTGCTTAATATGCGATATGATTTATATGCATCTAAATATTGCATGGCAGCCAGGGTAAATTGAACTGTTACAGTGCAATAACAATTGTACCCGACCAAGTGAAAACGAATCTGCTATTGTCAATATGCTATAATCTGTTATTTAGTAGGAACACAGCCAATTACAAAAATGAGCTCTGTATAACAGCTGCAGTTTAATAGTACGTTTCCAGGTTTACTTTTAATTAGCTAATATACAAAAACTGGGCGCATCAAACTTTAAACGACTTTTGTTTTCTTTCTGGTTTGTTTTGGTTTGCCTTTTTTTAGTCATTGCGGTTCTTTGAATTTCAGTAAATCGTCTAATTTCAAAGCCACTCCTTTTGGTAAGATTCCAAAAATACTTGGTAAAGGCTCAAATTGTATTCACACATACGGAGAACCTACAGCTGTAGATATGATGAGTTCAAAAACTCAAACTTGCGCAAGGTAATCCATCTTCGTTAAAAGTCCTCTGCACTTTTATTTCTCGTCGCGTTTAAATGGCAGAGACTTGAGTCTTAACTCACTCCTTTTGTATTTTGACTATGGTTGGGTTACACAATTGGAAAAACTTTGTCATAGACAAATGAAAAAAGAAAAAGCCAAATAGGATTAATTAGGCTAATAAGTCCAATGATTTTATTTGCAACATCCGCACATGGACGTCGTGCTGATTTGCCTGTTCAATTTGCTTTTGCTTTAAAGCTGAAAGACAATAAAAAAAACAAAAAATCCTGGCAGCGGGGAAATAAAACGGCTGCAAATGAGCTCCACCCTGAGAATGTGGCTTAATTAGCCTATTTAATTCCTATTTGGCTTTTTCCTTTTTCTCATTTTTCTAAGACAACGTTATTTCAATTGGGTGTAGCTCATGATCCTCCTTCAGAAGTGGCAATGGCCCCCTTTAAGCAGGTGTCTGTACGACAGGGTCCGAGAGAATCCATCTTCAGCAAAGAGGCCTTCGTGAGACAAATGGATTGATAATGATGTTTGAAGCAACGCCGTCGCCGACGCGGTTGTTTAAACTCCTTACTTGCCCATTTTAAGAAATTTTGAAGGTTTAAAGGCTAAAGCCCCATTGTTATCTGTACTTTGTGAATCGGAACATAACCAACCAGTAACAGCAACTCACCACTGTAGCCTTACTCATAATGAAAAACTATAAACTACAGACTGAAAATTCCTGTTCAGTTTTAATCTCCTCACATTTCTCTTCCTTAACTGCTAAAGGTAAATAGTTACTTATTAACAAGATTAATTGCTGTCATACGTTTGTAGAATGACTGTGTACCGGCTCTGTTGGGCATGGCTACAGCGTACATGTACTTAAAGCAGACTCCCAGGGCTCGTAATCAGCTGAAAAGGATCGCCAAAATGAACTGGAACTCAGAGGTACAGTATCCTTAGACACTATCTGTTTTGGGCCCGTCACACAGTCGCGGTTGGAAAGCGACGAGGGCATGCTTGAAACGAGGCCAGGTTTCAATTTTATAGATCTTTTACAAGTGTAATTTACAAGAGTGACCATTGTTTTAGAGTCTGAAACAATAACTACACTTGTAAATCACACTACTAAAGGTTTTATAAAACTGACCCCAGGTGTAGAGTTTACAACAATCAGAAGGCAGCTTCCGGGTAGTTTGGTGCTGCGATTACCAAATGACGCATTGCAAAAGGTGGAATAAAAGTGGTTGGACTCATCAGCTAACCGACTTAAGTTTCCGGCGTAGCTCGAAGAGACTTATAAGGGAAATTAAGGTTATAAATTTGTTCAGCAACTAACATATCGTACTCTTTCATTAGGAGGCAGAGGAGTTCGAGAGAAGTTGGCTTCTACTGGCGGACATTTATATCCAGGTACAGAAAAATAAGTGAAAATTTTATCGTCAATGTTGCACTTCATTCACTTATTACGATGAGTCACATGTTTTGCTTCATCTCATACTCTTGTACCATGCGGGACAAAAACAACTAAAGAGGAAAACTTTTTTGCTCAACTTATCCTCCGTTTGCTCGATCACTATATTTTCATATTCAAGACAGTAGAAGAACCATAACACAAGCTTCTGGTAATAGTCCCAAATCACTGTTTAATCCTTTGCGTAAATTATTATACTTTCAGTCTGGCAAGTTTGATATGGCTGGTGACTTGCTGAAGAAATGCCTACAGTATAATAAGGTTAGAAACGCTTAGTTAATCGCATGATATATTATTTTATGGATGAAAGGGGCTGAAAAAATCGTATTTTCATATATCATTGTTACTTAAGAATTCAACATTGCTGGTCCAGCAGGCGAGCATACCCCACTGGTCTAATAACATTAACCCTTCTTTTCCAATTTACGTTGTTATATAGAATTGTCATCAATGTAACTCTGTACGGGAAGCCGGTTCTATTAAAAATTTGCAAAAATATGAACGAGTAAACTAAAGTTATATTAGACGATATCGATGCATTACTCATTTTGAAATAGATGTTGTTTAATAATAAAAATTCCGGACAAATTGCCCTATTTAATCCCTGTGAGTGTATTGTACCCCGGTTAAGATTTCAGGTGATCGACAACTCTCTTTAACGAAGGCGTTGTGTAAAATTATTTTTATTATTATTGCTATTGTTGTTGTTGTTATTCCTTTTTGTGTACAGTGGAACCTCTCCTTTGGTACACCTCTATTGAAAGGACAGCTCCATTGAGAGGACACAAAATTTGGTCTCGGAAAAATGTTCACATAATCTTTGTATATGTTACTTCTGTTGTTGAGACACCTCTATTCAGGGGAAAGGGACACTTTTCCTGGGTGCCGAAACCTGGGTCTAACCTCCATTCAGGGCGCACCTTAGCGCTCAAAAAATAACTGACCACAAAGTCGATGACAAATTTACAAAGTTACATCAGTCACAGTGATGACAGCTTTTAAAGCATGAACGATATAAATTTAAATCGATGTACTGCACTTGTGGGAATTCAACACACAGCGTCGCAGAGATATGTTAATCATGATTTTTTTTTAATACATTATCTAGCTGCTTGAAATAATAACTGCAGCAGATGCCGTGACAGAATAAAAGAAAAATATTTTATTTGTTGCTTGATTATTAACAAAACCCAGCCCAACCTCCGTTCAGGGGGCACCTCTATTCAGGGACACTTTCCTTGGTCCCAAGGGTGCCCTCTGAATAAAGATTCCAGTGTATTTTGTAACTGAACTCAATGATTGTATCCTTTTTACAGTCGTGTTGCAAGGCCTGGGAGTATATGGGTTATATTATGGAAAAGGAGCAAGCTTACAAAGACGCTGCCAAAAACTATGAGAATGCTTGGATCTACGGCAACCAAAACAACCCCACAATTGGTATGTTACACATATTATTTGAAAAGCTAAAAGCCGTTGACGGAAATTGTTCTGAAACTCGCAAAAATCTTACTCCTGCTCTTGAAGAAGAGAAGGAGAAAGTCGAAAGACTGTAAATCTAAAATATTTAATAAGCCTTTGGCAAGCTTTGGATGAATACTCCTAATCTGAAATGTCGAATGAATCCCCACCTGCTACCTATTATAATCTTCTTTGTGCCTTGACTGTTAGTTTGTTAAATGCTTTGGTAACAGCAGGAACAAAAAACAATGAAAGACAATGAAAGAAATCTATTTCGTAAATAAAAAAATATAAAAATAATAATAAAATAAAAATGTGGAATTAGACGTGAGAGAAAGTATTGCAAATAATTTTTATTCTTCACATCAATTATACAATGGTGAAAAACCTTTTTCATAGATTGAATTGTGTCTGTGAACGTCCAGGTCTGATTAAGAAATTCAGTAAAGATAGCTGCCGTGAAGAGATTCAATTTTTTTTTGTCAAGAAGTAGTTCGTTAGAAATATTCAAAGGGGGTGTTAATCACCAAAAGTTTTCTTTTAAAATGAAATTGTCCAAAGTAAATTACTGCAAATGCATTCTTTACATTTATTTCTTCATCAAGCACTGAATACATATGAATTAAATATATTCATTATTTCATGATCTTCTTAGGTTATCGACTGGCTTTCAACTATCTCAAGGCCAAGCGCCTGGTGGACGCTATTGACGTATGTCATAAGGTACTACTGTGTTCTCTCACAAATTTCTTTTCTATTCTATTCTATTTTTATAGTACTAGAAATGGTTAAATTGTCTGAGCGAGATTAATTATTGTAGTGGAGGTACGCTACATCGAATAAGTTACCAACAGCAGAGTTGGACCGACTTAGAATTTGCTTAAACCTTTCGCCGTGTGCTACTGAAATGCAAGTCCATATTAGCTAGCGTACAAATGTCTTCTCAGCTAGCTAGCTTCTTTTCACTTGCCAGTGCTTCACGCAAACTGATAAATGTAAGAGATGGATACCATCTTTTTACTTTGAAGCGCGCTGCGGAGGTACCATTTGTTCTTTTGTTTTCTTTGTTGTTGTTGTTGTTGTTGTTGCTTGTTTTTTCGTATACGTAGCACTTAAACGAGAGCTTCCCCTCATCTTAACTCTCTCAGTTTTTCACTCAAACACTCACTCATCCTGCACTCACTCCTTTGCAGGTTTTAAACCAGCATCCAAACTACCCAAAAATCAGAAAAGAAATCCTGGATAAAGCACGTCAAGCTTTGAGGGCCTGACTCGTTTGATTGCTATGTAGCCAAGACGCTGGACGTTTTGTCGTTAAATATGGACTGGACTTACACACATATACTTTAAATTAAGAAAACATCTCGCTATTTCGTACAACAGGCACGGTCTCAATTAATCCAATGCCTTATTTCTCCTTATTTCATATCTTTAAAAGATAAAAATTGCGAGAACGTAATCGGCTGGTTATAAACGAAGTGCGTTCTAATCCATTTTTCGATTTTGCTTTGCCTGGGCCGAGTTGTTGAAGAGGCTTCAGTTGTTCAAAAAGCTGGTGGATAGCGCTGTTCAAAGAATAAATCCATATCCAGTAGATTAGTATTAAGAAAACTAATTGAGTTTTCCAGTGGATTGTGCTTTATCCGGCTATTCACTTTTTTTGAACCACTTGATAAGCGCAAAACCAGTCTTAGTTACCGTGACAACCCATATACTCTCGTTTGCACTTAAGAGCCATTATCTGAGAAAATCGAGAATCGCACGACACTCGTCAAAAAATCGAATTTTTTTTTATTTTGCCAAAACATCCCTTTTAGTGACCTTATTTAAGGAAAAATAGTTTTGGGTTCAAACGAACTTGGAGCTGTCATTGGCGTTATAGTATACCGTGCCGCCGTATTTGCTGTCTTAAGCAGCAACCGTGACAGCAACATTAAAAAACAAGCTCGTCACATTACAACGGTATCAGCAGGCATTCTAAATCTTATTGCAATTATGCTGTTGACTAAGGTCTACGTTAAGCTAGCAACCTGGCTGACAGATTGGGAAAACCCGCCTACGGAGTCCGCGTATAAGGACAGCTTCACGTGGAAGATGTCGTTGTTCCAGTTTGTCAATAACTATTCCGCCATATTTTATATCGCATTCTTTAAGTCTGAGCTAATCGTGGGCACGCCAGGAAGATACAGAAGAATTCTGGGAAAGTATCGACTAGACGGCTGCAGTGAACAGGGGTGCTTTCTGGAACTTACCATTCAACTTTTTATCATTATGGTGGGGAAACAGATTTTCTTCAACATCTTTGAATTAGCAATGCCGTAAGTACGGAAAATCCATTTATAGCGAAATTCGTTGTATCTGGCTGTGCGTTTTGCAACTCTCGGGTTTTTCCAGCTTACTTGCAAGAGTTCAAAAGGTCATGGTTTGTGATTTATGATTGGTAGATTTCGATCAGCCAAGCCGGGCGAGCATTACATTGTGAGTTGCATGAACCCCGCCTTCTTTAAAGTGATTGATGGAACAGAAAAACCCAAATTTCCTTCTAAATTTGCATTACGCACAGCGCGATACAACGAATTTCGCTGTAATTTTACTCAGTGCGAAGTAAAAAACACGTTGGAGTACAATTTATAGTATTTTCGATTTCACTCAGCTGGAAATTTGTTTATTTCATGCTTTACATTCAGTTACCATGTGGCTGTATTTTTGTAGAAGTTTACGTACTGAAATATAACACGAATTAGTAATATTAAGTGCTTTTCAGAATACAAAAAATAAAAACATAACATAACATAAAATAATATGAAAAAAGTTTTCAGATTATAGCGTTGTGAAAATTTTTGAAAATGAGCATCAATAAACAAAAAACAAAACAGGACCCACCCATGAACAACATTATGAGCGCTTAAGGGCTGGTTTCTACGAAGTTCCCTGCTTTAATATTTCCGCTAAGGCTTAAAAATTTTAGAATCGGTTGTTTCATTTCTAATACTTGTGTGTAACATTTCAACAGGTTCTTTAAGCTGTTAAAAAATCGGCGCAAGAAAAACAGTCCAGAAAATGCTCCTCAGTATGAAAAAGACTTTGATCTGACGGCTTGTGAAAAGCATTATATGTTTTGGGAGTACTTAGAAGTAGGTAAGTACACTGATAATGTCACCTAATTGAGGGTCTGAGTGGTGGTACCTCGATAACACTTAACACTTAGTAACATGAAACAGTTAAATTTTAGGCGTTTCAACACTTAACGCTAAAGAAATCCGCCTTTGAAACAGTAATTTTTTTCCAGAAAGAAGCAAAACCGGCTCCAAAAAGGCCAATATTATTTTGTTTAGTATAACAAAAAGTTTTCGGCCATTTTACGACAATTTCGGATTATTTCAGAATATTTCCGAAGGCTACCGTCGATTTCCGAAGACTGTCGACGATTTTCGAAGACTAACGAAGAGGTCCGACCATTACCGAAGATGTCCGAAGGGCCCTCCAAATACTTGTACACCATTGCGTTTATCTACTAGTCAACCTCGTTTTAACGAATAGTCTTACTAGATTATGATACTAATATTACTCGTAAAGAAAAGACATAAACTTAATATCATACATTCAAATTCCAATTTATTTCCAGTCCTTCATTATGGATTTGTGACCATGTTCGTTGCTGCATTTCCCCTCGGCCCTCTATTTGCACTTATAAATGCCATCATTGAAATCCGCGTAGACGCCATAAAGTTCCTCTGCTACTTTCGACGTCCTGACGTTGCTCGCGTAGCTGACATAGGAGCATGGTACGGCGTGCTTGAGGCATTGACAAGGGCGTCGGTGGTTGTGAACGCTTTCCTGTTGGCTTTTACTTCCGGATTCATCCCTAAACTTCTTTACAGGGTAGTGTACGCAAGTGATCACCATTCAAGTTGGGGTGGTTCGCTTAAAGGATACGTCAACTCTTCTTTGGCAGTTATAGACTTGAAAACTCTCTATAGGTGGGAGAGTGGTACTCAGCCTGAACATCCCGTGGAGAACTTGAACTACACAAGAGACTACTGCAGGTAATAAATTCTTGTGTTTGAACATGGAAATTTTTGTTTGTAAAGAACAGCAGCTGAGCAATCAGTTACCTCACAGAAATAGAAAAACTTTTAAGTCCTTTTATTTCCTTTAAATTATAAAAGGGCTTTTGCGGATTATTCGTAACCCGTATACAATTGAGCTAATCATCCCAGCTTGTGTTCGATTGGTCCTCGGGCTTCGAATCCCATCTGCAATAGCCTGATTTCCACATTCATATTCGTTATTTATTTCATTCTGAAAGTGTCTATTTTTCTAATTCATTTGGTAGGAAGACACTTTTTATAGCTTTTTTTTTTTTAAATGATGACAGATGGCGTGTAATAGCCCCTTTGACTGAAATAAATATTCTTTCACATTAAAGGAGTTTCTTTTCCTCTTAGTCAGTTATGTGTGCTTAGTCCACATATTGTCTCTTAAATAGGTATCCTGGTTACTTTGAAAGCACCTATCCATACAGCTACTCCAAGCAGTACTGGCACCTACTCGCCGCCCGCCTCGCTTTTGTGTTTGTGTTCCAGTTCGTAGTGTTCACGGTCACTAGCTTCATAGCATGGGTAATACCAGATACGCCCGATGAACTCAAGTTTCAGATGGAAAGAGAGAAAGAAATAATCAACTCGATATTTCTTCGCGGCCATGAATACGATATTGATTTTGATGACGAAGAAGAAGAAGAAGATGAGCCACCTTTTGAGGACGCCAAAGAGGAAGTGGATTCTTGAAAAATGAAACAAACGTTTCTCCTCTCTCTAGTTTCGTATGAATACTCAGAAAACGTACGTTATTGTTAGTCTCAACACGAAGGGTCTCAGAGTGGGAGAGGCGGTGGAGAAATAACTGTTAATGTTAGAGAATAACCAAGTGATATAAGTTTTTTAGCTCTTTACAACCGCTTAGCCCCTTCGCTACACATCAGTCTGGGCAAACGGCTTGAAAGGCCGTCTTACTCCAGTATCAGTCCCAACTCCCCCTCCTCCCCGTTCAATAAACTGAAGAGTGCAAGAGGCGCAGTACACCGTATACTCAAAATTTTATGTGAATGATACTTTGTAAGTGTTTAGAACCATCCCAAGAAGCAAGACATGATCATGACAGGTGATGTTTATTTGGAGTCTTAAGTATCGACTTCATCCATAGTTACGAAACTGGAACTGGTTATGAAGCCCATCAGACGGAAAAATATAAAGCGGAAAAATATATTTGCCATCGCTACATGTTTACCTTTTACCAATAGTGAATAATTCCCCCTTGCGATCACTAGCCAAAAAATCATGGTCTGACCTGGACCGTGGATGTAAATGGTTAAGAACAGGGACAAGCTTAACCCCGTGACTGGAAAATTAAGTTGTTTCTTTAAAAACTGAAAATCTAGGCTTAGAATCACGGTGAATGTTGTGAAAAAGAACGTATTATATGCTAAGTTAATTCTGATAACAATCAGGTAAAAAGACGAACGCAAAAAGTTTTGATTTACCTTGAAATAAAATAATTATATTGTTAGTTACTGCATGAGCCACGCTCTCGTCTCCACCCCAACGAACTAAGAACTAAAGTTTCCAAATAAAGGGGAGATATTCAAGATCATATTGTTAAAAAAAAATTCATGTAACATTCGATTTATTTATACTTCAAGCTTCTAACGCGGAACAATATAGCAAGCCAAAAATTACAAAAAGTGGTGGATACCAATGGTAGCAGATCCCGGACTAAAGAGAGGTTATCAGCAGACTCCTCTCTTTTCTGTACGTAGTCTTTCGTTTATTTTAAGACAAACTTAAATTATACGTTTGCCCACAGTTGCCACGGTAACAGTCAAGTCAAGAATGTTTTAATAAAGCTGCAGGCTTAATTTCCAAATGTTGTGTATATTAAAACCGTATAAACAGTCTGAGCAGTAAATTTTTTAATTGGAACTACCTTTAGTTTGAAAGGTTGAAGATATCAGGAGGTTGGCCAATTTGACTACTCATTGAATCTCCAGCAGCGCTGGTTCCTAAAAAAGTCAAACATTATTTTCTAACGGTCATGACCGGCTACATGAACGTAATTTTTAATTGTGCAATATCATCATATCACAGCAGAAATATTAGAGGGGGTGGGGGACCAAATTGCCCTCCACCTTCCCCTTCTTTGCCCCCCGATGGGAATATGAAAATGCTTGTTCGCCTTTGTCGAGAGTTTTAAAGTCCAGCAATTGAAAGGTGACATAGCGCGCAACCGCAGACGTATTTCCGGTCGTCGCTTCTCTCCCTCCGAAAAATTAAAGCGGGTGAAACTAGACTCGAAAAAACCGGATGCTCTCGCAAGCTAAAGGTGACAGCGTGTATAAAGAAACAGACGCAGAAGCACGTAGTGATGTCACGAGCAGCTGTTTGCCTAGAGCGTACAGATTTTGCTAGTCAGAGTAAACCGCCAATTTTTAAGATTTCCTGTGTTGGCTCAGTATGCTTGTTTTTGCCATCAGAGGTTTTCAGCAAGTTCAAGTTTTCAAGTTTTCCTTTGTTCTTCAAATTTGTTGTTGTGTTTCACACCTTCGTTTCCTATATATATATATATAGGAAACGAAGCTTGATAATTGCGCTTTATAATTGTGACACGTTATAATAGCGCTGCTTTTTATCCTAGTTTAGGATAGTTTTCAACACTTTTTTCTAAATAAAACGGAGCAGAATACAACACTCTTGGAAGAGCCCATATCTTTTGACTAAGTAAGCCCGATAGACAAACGGGAGCATGAAACAAAACATTATCTTTTGAGCACAGGAGAGATGGCTTTTGATAAACTCATCATGTAAATGCAGTATCCGAAATAGGCACTGGAGAAAACATATCGCATGTTATAAGTTAATAAGAGAAAACGAATTACTCATTGGAACTATCATTTGAATGCTAAGTGTACGATACAGCATTCCGTCATACCGCAATTCAGGGTTTTTATATTAACACTCATTCCGAGGTTACGTGTCTTCTTCGCTGACCTCGGTCCATGGTAGCAAGTGGCTTTAAACTCAAGTCACTGGAAACGTGATCGGCGATCTGAACACTGTACGAGCATCGTCAAAGAAATCGAAATTTGTTAATGATGAATGGGGTATTTTGCTGGGTAGGCTCAGTGAGTAAAAGTAGTCAGAACTTCTTGATACCTGAAAACGTTGATTACAGACAATTAGTCACGTTTTTGTCAAGGAGAGAGCAATGTTGAAACAAGCCGATTCGTGAATCTACATGACCGTAAAAGTCGAATGTGCTGAATTAGGGAGTTGGTGAGGTGGGGGCGTAGATGATTAGACAGGTATTTTTTAGCAACCTTAACTTGTGAACCTTGCGAAAATACAAAATTAAGAAGATTCATCCGGCCACGCTAATAATATATCTTAAAGCATGTTTCATTATCACTACAACGAATTAGTAAGTTTTCTCATTCATTCATTTTCGAACGTTCTAAAGTAATTGTCTAAATCTTGATCTGTCAGGCTCAGGACCCACCGACAAAGCAGCTGAAAATGAAGTATATGCATTTCCATGAAACAGTTGTTATACGCAAATTGCAACATTTGTGGTCATGTGATAAATTGTTCTTTAATGTTTTCAAGCCATACTAATTACTACTGAAGTAGATAAAACTGTTTTGAGGTTAGAGGTCACTTCAAGTTTGGCAATGCACGTGCCTTCCAAGTTAGAAAAAGACTGACATAGGCATACAAATCACGAGGGAGTCATATCCAGCCAGAACTCACAAAGGTCTTCGAAAAGATCAAAAGTAGCAGCCTCCTTTAAGACAACTTTTATAAGCTTGGCAAAGATGAGCTTAGAAGAATATTTTTAAGTCTTTAAAAAAGGTAAGAGCGTGCACGATTCTAAAACAACAACCGCATAACAAAACAAAATTAAATCAAGGAAAAAAAACAACAACAGGTGAACAAAAAATATGGTATTAAATAAGAAATATGAATGTGGGAAACAATATTATATTGTGCTGACAAACAAAAGCTCTTCTATAGGGAAATTCGACCGTTTTCTTTTTCCGACTTTTCTTTCTTTTTTTTCATGAAAGTCAATCCCGACGATAAATGTTAGGTATTGATGCTCTTCTTACAATAGTCTTAGAATATATATATTAAGTGCTCTGTCAAATGGTCAATGAAGCGAGTCAAACTTGCAATTTAAATTTCGGCCTTCTAATCATTATTCTTTTGACTCTTTTATAGCGGCTTGAGAGTTTGGACTCAATTCATCGAGGTTAAACATGAGCTCGGTGCCATTTACAAGATTAAATGAAGAGGAATTATTCGAAATTGATCCTGTGCAAGAAGCAAATACCGATGAAACACGCTTGCGGGCCGCTGGAGGTTATTCGAACGATGGTGAACCAGATCGACGGATTGATTACGTCTTAGTGTACGAAACTTCACAACATGATGAAACAATGGACGAGGAATCTGCAGCAGATGCCGCCAGACTAGCGCTTTTGAGAGCTTCTTTTGAAAGAGAGCTGGAAAAGCAAGGTCTTATTCTACATCAGCGAACAAAGGCTGATGAGGTGCGTTTTTGAGAATTTATTTAATGTCAATTAAATGGGCAATCATGCGTATTTCTAATTACATTTTAGCTTAAGTCTTAAAAGTCTAGAGTAAATAGGTATATTACATTTTTTTCTTAAAGAAGCAGCGTCTGTAAGTCAATGTGTACTGCTGATGATGGAGATCATGTGCAATATTTTCAGTATTCATGCCCTTTCAGGTTTTACTTTGTGTGCCAATCACATGCATATTTTTAGAAATGTTGTTCCAGATGCAAATCAGTTATTCCACAAATTTATAAATAAATGGATAAAAATAAATAAATAAATAAATAAATAAATAAATAAATATGTAGATAAACAAAATAGGTTTTCACTGTTTCGTTTAATTTCTACTATCCTGCTCAGGAAAAAAAAAACAACATTTCAACTATATTTTATTTAAAACGTTATTTCTGTGCTCACAGTTCAGGTAATGACGGAACCTCTTCTGATCAGAAGTACCCTGGTTCCAGAGGTCCGTTTTCAAATACCTAATATGAAACATAAACCGTGCTTACGGTTTGTCCATGTTCTACCGTCGATCTCTTCAGATGTCAGAAGCACCCAACGACGGTTTCCTTCTTTTGGCTATCCAGAGTACTTTTAGATGTCTAGAAATGTATTCTAAGTAGCGCTAAAAAATTTATATCTGTTCAGTATTATTTTCACGAAAATTTTAGCAGCAATTTAAAGTTTTACAAAAGGGAGAATTTCTCCGATATCTCCTAGTTTGCATCGTAGTTTCGATTCCGAAAATTTTAGGTTCCTTTCTCTACGAAAAATAGTTTAACCTGGGTAGTGAAATGGGAAAAATTAAACTTCAGAAAATCGTAGGATATTTATTACTTAAGATTTGAAAATTATACATGAATGGAACGGTCATATAGAAATTTTTAGCCCCCCTCAAGCTATAGAAAATATTAGGCAATTTTTGCTTCTCCGAAAGGATATTTCACAGAAAACAGTCGTTGGGTGCCCCTGAGATGTATCATTTTAAATCCAAATCTTTTTTTTGTTTTCTCCTCCACAAAGGGACTTTTCAGGAACGATAATTAGTATTTAACCAATCCCCAACTCTTAATCACAATACTTAATATATTCCTAGTTACAATATTGGACTTAAAAAAAAATAAAATAAAATAAAATAAAAAAATACTATATTGGACTTATTAATTGGAAAGAATATAATTATGCTAAAGTTGGTTCGTTAAAAAACTTAAACAGAAAATTAACGGCTAAATTTTAGAAAAGGTTCTTAATTATCCTAGAGCTTGAAAGGTTCTTCATCCGGAGGCTTCTAAGAAAGAGGCTGTTTTGCTTTTGGCTATTCCAAGTTATATTCGTTTACTAACATGCTCACGGGTATGGTAACAAATTGGGAGATGTTCAGGGGCGTGACCGGTCATGCCTTTGAAGGCCATAAAAGGTTGGCGATTATACCGTTTTGCCTTTTGTTGGAAGGATGGGATGAGACAAACAAGGTGTTATGGGGAATAGGGAAGTGGTGGATGTTCACCTCTCCTGCCAGCTCCTCTCATCTTAATGTAAAATTTTGGGGGAGCAGTTGAGGGAGTGGGCCAAACAAAGTGTCAGTATTATTTATGGCAAAACTAAATTAGTGGGAGACTTGCAAAGGGACGGGCATGGGAAATGAGATGAGGTTAATGTAGAGGCTGTGATACGATAAAATCCATGTTTTAAATGTGGCATAACTTTGACATCACTCTGTCTGCCCATTTATGTAGGATGGTGAACTGATGCGACATTTTGTGTTAATTCACGCTCCATGGGAGGTTCTCTCTGAACGAGCTGAAAGAACGAAGATGAAAGTTCCTCTTCAGATTAACGACACCGTCTTTGAAACTTGGCTGGAATTCTTCTTTGGTTCGAGCATAGCAGGCAAAGTAACACAGAAAAATCCTTTAGAAATACGGGATGCTTCTGTACATGCGTGTCCTGACCATTTCATGGGGAACTTCCGGAGAGATCGCCTTTCGGCATACATTCAACACCAGGATTTCAACGAGGATACATTTTTCTCAAACATCGACCGACAGCATCTAATTCAGCAGATCCTAACCACTACCCGATATTCGGAGGAACCTAATGATGTAGGACTCTCCAAGCTTCTTTATGACGGTGCCTACGAGAGTTGTTACCCATTACACGAGGGAAAGCATGACGTCGCAAGTGATGAATCTGATGTCAAGCTTCGTCACCAGCTGAAGAGAGACTGGGCTACATTTGGTAGAATCTTTAAATACCAGCCTTACGATGCCATAAAGGATTATTTCGGTCACGAGATCGGTCTGTACTTCGCCTGGATGGGATTCTACACTGCAATGTTGGTTCCTCTCGCCATATTTGCTTTGATTGTGTTCATCTATGGAATTGCGTCTGCAGGCTCGTATATTCCAATCCATGATCTTTGCAGTGAGAATAACCGCGGCGTCTGGTACATGTGCCCGCTGTGTGACAAACAGTGTAGCTACTGGAATTTAGCCCCCGACACCTGTCTGTACGCGAAGGTTACTCACTACTTTGACAATGACGCGACCGTTGCTTTGGCCTTTTTCGCATCAATTTGGGCCACCCTTTTCTTGGAATTCTGGAAACGCCGTCAAGCGACTCTTGCACACAAATGGCACACATCTGAATTTGAAGAAGAAGAAGAACAACTCCGACCCCAGTACGTGTCAAGTTTAACAGAGGAAGAGCTGAATCCTTATAAACCGGACTCAAAAACTGGAAAAATTAGCCCAAATAAAAAGAAGGTTAAGCGATTTCGTCGACTGAGTTTAGTTTTCAGTATCATCGCTTTTATGATTCTCTTGGTTATCGTCGCCATGATCGGCGTCGTTGTCTACCGAGCAGCCGTTTTTGCAGTCTTGAGTAGTAGCTCCAACAGAAATCTGGAAAGCGGTGCTCGAATCCTAACAACGGTTACTGCTGCCTTGATTAACCTGGTGGTCATAAATATCTTACAGTTTCTTTACAACAAGCTAGCAATCTGGCTCACTGACTGGGAAAACCCACCCACCCAGACGGATTACAAAGACAGCTTCACCAGGAAGATGGCCTTGTTCCAGTTTGTTAATAATTATACATCCATCTTCTACATTGCTTTCTTTAAGTCTGCGCTCATTGTTGGAACACCTGGAAGGTATACAAGGGTGCTAGGCAAATATCGACTCGACAGCTGTAGTGAGCAGGGATGCTTTTTAGAACTTGCCATTCAAATCGCCACTATCATGGTCGGACAGCAAATTTTCTACAACATCACTGAAATTGGAATACCGTAAGTTTCTGTTCCTGCTTCTGTCATAATATTTTTCTATGCATTTAAGCAAAACCAAAAAACCCTATTCCAGCGCTGTACCGTGGCACTTAAGTTATATATGTAATTTACTTATTTTCGACTTAATTAATTATGTGTTCACTTTTTTGGAAAGTCATTGGCAAGGTACGGTTTCGGCAAAATGCGTACACCTCTCGAGAGAATTTGTATCTGAAAGCAATTTGTGCTTTTATGCTAGCACTTTCTAACCTTTGCACGAATACAACGAGAAACTTCAAGAAACTTCCTAGTTACACGTTTTATGTGTTCCTCTTCACTTTTTTTTTCGCTGCCGCTCATTTTCACCTTAGGTGGCCGCTAGCATTTCCCTTCTCAGAACTAAAATTTCTTGGATGCACAGATTACCAAATTTTCTTATCCATGGTGCTCCGCTATCCGCGCTTTGCGCGCGAGAGAGCTCCACCATTAAATACACTAGTGAGTATCGATCCTTACTGGCAGTATAATATAACAGTTTTCTTGCCTCGGTTTCATTAGGTACATAATGTTGCTGAAAAAAAGACGAGCACAAACAAAAGATACCATTCGACCACAATACGAATTGGACTACGACTTAAGCCCTTTAGAAAGGAATTTTATGTTCTGGGAATACCTCGAAATCGGTGAGTAATTAAGTCAGGTTTGATTCCGTATCATAAATCCTGGGCAATATGTGTTTACTTTTGTTGTGGTTGTTTTAGCTTTACAGTACGGCTTTATAACCATGTTTGTCGCTGCATTTCCCCTTGGACCATTGTTTGCGCTCATCAACGTCGTGGTGGAGATCAGAGTGGATGCCATCAACTTCTTATGCCACTTCCGCCGGCCCAACGCCACCCGCGTGGAAGACATAGGGGCCTGGTACAACGTCTTAGAGACCATCACCAAGGTTTCAGTACTCGTCAACGCATTTGTTTTGGCGTTCACCTCCGAGTTCATCCCAAAACTGACGTACAAGATGATTTACTCACAAAATAAGGGGACGCTTGAGGGATACGTCAATAACAGTCTTGCCTTCATTGATTTGAAAACCCTTTATACATGGGAAAATGGCACTCAGCCAACAGATCCTACAAAGAATCTCAACTACACACGAGATTACTGCAGGTAATATTCGTTTAGTATGTGTAATCAAATGGTGACGAGTGAAATATAGAAATGACTTCACGTACGTTTTGTCCAAAGTTTAATTAATGTTACGCTTACAATCGTGGTTTTTTACTTATTTGATTATCGAGTATCGAGAACTCCACGCACTGAAAAATTTATAGCACAAGCTGTGGTTTGAGTTCACAAGTTTCGGAAATTTTCAACAAGTTCCAAGTATACCTGTGAGAGTCCTCGTTGATGAGCTCTTTTGTATGTTTAGGTTTTCTAAAACGTCTTTTAACGCCCTGACAACTTATAACTTCGACGCCACTTGACTGAGACGTCTGAACGTTGCCTGGAAGCAATTTTATAATTTCACATGTCAAATTATAAATTGACGCTGAAACTTCGAGCCAAAATTAAGGAGTAATTTGTCATCCAAGATATTATTAATATAGAACCTTTGGACTGACGTGTCGAATACCATGGTGACATTTACTTTTACTCGTGTTTTGCATCCTTGTAACTTATCGACAACAGCAAAACGAGACAGTCAAATTCCACCAAAGGTTTGTAAAAAAGACACGATTCAACGCATTGAAACTTAATAATGTTTAGTCTCAAAACAGAAATTAGATAAAAAACGTCATTTTTAACATTGTTTAAAAATGCATCACGTGACCAACACGTGCAGTTTTATGGAAAAATTCTATGGTGCGAAATTCGTTGTCCTTTTGTAGGTCCATCCCAGTGGCTATAAATTGTCTTCATGAAAAATCGATCAGTCTGAATGAAACATGGTCCTTTTAAACATGAGAAATTGTAATTACAAATTTTATTCCTTCGGATCATTCCAAGCTTATTTCGTAGACACTTTGTAGTGTCAATGCTTTGATACAAAGAAACTGAAGCTACATTCCAGGTGGATGTCTTTAACAATGGTCATAAAAAGCACAAATGATTCAGAAACATGCTTTTAAACATATTCCTATTTTTTTTTTTTTTTGCTCCTTCAGGTATAAGGGTTACTTTGAGGACACTTATCCTTACAAGCGCTCGAGCGAGTACTGGAACATCCTGGCCGCCAGACTTGCCTTCGTTCTCATTTTTCAGTTTGTTGTGTATTCCATAACTGCCTTCATTGCATGGATAATTTCCGACATCCCAGAAGAGCTGAAATTTAAGATGAAAAAAGAGAAGGAGCTGGAGAAGGCCATACTCAGGGATGAAAATAATGCGAATGTGTGATTTGATAAAGTCACAATACACAAATAGTCTTTTAGCCCTCCGTGATACACGGATTGAGCGTTATAACCCCCTCCCCGAGGTATGATGGGGGTGGGGGGTTACCAAAATGTGCCGAAAAGAGTGTGTGGATCTTGATTGGATAGAACATGTTTATCTGAAAATCATTCCTGGTGTCAATTTTATTCTTCCTCCCTTATACGGCGGAGAGTTATTAGCAGCTACACACAGGTTATACCTGATTTCCTACATATGACTCGAAGTGACGCAACATAAATACACTCAATGCATGACTTGTTGATAAGAAGTACCTTGCATCCTGAAAAGAAGAAATGATCGTGTGCATTGCTGGTAAGGTGGCTCCGTAATTAATACAAGAGGATTAAGCTGTGACAAATTTTCCGTCATAACTTTTTCGATTTTAACGCGATGGCTGCGAAACTTTGCAAAAAACAACACATATCATTCGGCAATAATGCGAAATATTCCGATTTCATTGATGTTAAATATTCCTTAAGAAATTAGCGCTTAAAAGGACCCTACTGTTCAAAGAATATCGCGTCTAGTAAAAAATTTTGCTGATATTTTTTACTGAAATTTCTGGTATCGGCTTTAATTGATACTGTTTTCATAATTAGCAAACACTGAATTTACTTGTCCCAAAAATTGAAACTGGTGTCTCCTTCTTCCTGATAGTTATTTATTTTTGAAATTCCAAAACAATTTCACAGCTGAATTTTGATTGACTTTTAGTTACGGACTTCTGCTCCAACGATTTTTCTGAAATTCCTCTGGCATATTTATTAAATCAAGTAAAGCCGATACCAGAAATTTCAGTAAAAAATATCAGCAAATTTTTTTACTAGACGCGATTTTCTTTGAACAGTAGGGTCCTTTTAAGCGCTAATTTCTCAAGAAATATTTACGATCAATGAAATCGGAATATTTCGTATTATTGCGGAATGTTATCTGTTGTTCTTTGCAAAGTTTCGCAGCCATCGCGTTAAAAACCAAAAAGTTATGACGGAAAATTTGTCACAGCTAAATGCTCTTATGTTAATTACGGAGCCACCTTAAGAAGCGTAATTGAGGCGTATGGTTGTATACTCTTCGTCTATAGTCCATTGTCTATCGTCCAGAATCTATCGTCTGGGTTTCGGCACATGCCTCTTTTTGTATTAATTATAAAAATGTTTTTCATAGAGTTCGAAGAACATGTCCCTCTGACGTCACTCTTGGTCCTTTAAAACTTCCTTGATAGAGTCGGACATTACGAGCAATTTCGAGCCGCGGCCATGGACAATGGGCTATCGTCCTTGGCTGGGTTTTGAAAACTTTTGCATTAGACTCTACACACTCTTCAGTTATACTTCTGAAGAAATTTATTCAGCTGAAATTGTATTAAACCGTCAACTATACTTCCTAGCTAATGGGCTTCTATGGCTTCTTGAAGAACTATAATTTTTAATTTACCCTCTAGGTAAATCGTCGTATTCTAGCGCGTGTTCATTTGTACTTAGAAAATAGTTAGACTTTGAACGGTAAATAAAACTTATTTATCCCATTGTCGCATCTACACAGTATCCATAAGTGAGACTGAATTAGGCCATTTGCACTTACGAAAAAAAATATGGCAGGAGAGACGGCACCTCGAGTCAATTCACCGTACTGTTGCTTTATAAAGACCCCCTAGATTATTGAAAGAATCGCCTCTTTCGGATGTTATCATAAAGCTTATAATTTAATTGGTCTATATACACAAGTTGATTATTGGGAGGAGAAACAATGAGGTCATTTACTTTTAGGCATTTCTAGTCATTTTAACACATATGAACCATCTGCATAATATATTATCCAAGCGTTTATATCTTTTAAAAGAGACCGCGGGTCCTTACAGGTACTAGCACAGCTAACAAAGGGTGGGTGACAGGATTAAATGGGCCATCGCAAACGGCTTTACTTAGATATATCCAAGATACTATCCGATGGCAGTGAAATGAAGGGCATTTATTCAAATTGCGGTACGTTTTTCCATTGTTGTAGTAGTATAGCTTATTTCTTCTTTACAGCTTAAAGGCTTTAGAGGACTAAATGGGGAAGCCAGGATGGCGATAGGCTTTGTTGACAATGGGATCCGGTTTTTTAACATTGGATAGCGCTACGTGATAAAGCACTATCTGACGGATGAGTGTTAGGGAAACCAACTGCAGTATCCATTCAATAGAGATTTATCCAGTGGGTGACGTTATCCACCTTTTGAACAACTGGGACCAGGCTGCATTAATTCCCAGTATGACCATTTCATTGTTCATTAGTCTTGCTTGCTTTAGCGGCGAGACTCAGAAAATGCAAGCGTTTCGGCTTTCTGCCCCAATAGTGATCATGGTCCCAGGCGTGGAGACCGAGGAAACTGGGGTAAGTATCTCGGCGTGACTAGAGCCATGCAGGGAAGATTACTGTAAATTAAAGATGTAGAGCTTTTCCGGAACGGGTTGGTCCACGAATTCTATCGCTTGAAAGCGTTGATTACATTAAAACAAGTGAATACTTCGGTGGCTGAAAAAAAAAAAAGAAGACCAAGAAGAAGAAGGTATGCAATGCAGTGAGAATATTATACTATTGTTAGTACCAAAGGCAGTCAATGGTTACTATGCAACCTGGCTAGCTAACATTTTTTTTTGTCCTTCCTCACATATACTCCTTATCAGGGCTTGCACGCCCGGACACAGGCTCCTTAGGAATTAATTGCCTCCTCATTTCGGATCTTATCTCCAAGCAAGGTCGAGTCGCCGTTTTTAGAGTATTGTTTCTTTTCTGATTTCCACTCAAGCGAAACTTTTAAAAGCGATTTCGTTAACTTGTAAAAACATTTAAGGAAACAATACTGTGTGAAATATCTGACAAAATTTTTGTTTTATGGTTGGATCAAAACGGCAACTTCTATCGAATGCTATCCGCTAATTCAGGCGCACAGTATTCGAACCTTTAGTAAAGAATTGAAGTAGCTAAAAAAATCGAAACTTACAAATTAAATTATTTGTGATAACGTTTTTTTCGTGTTAAAGAAGTCGATATTTAATTGTTTATTGGATTGTTAAAAGGATCTTAAGCTTCGGTCATTACAATGTATATGACCTATATACCAATGTATGTATGTATGTATGTACAAATCCCTGAATGAAGTATACCTCAACGCCCCTGTCAGCCTGTAACCGCCCGTGCGGATCCACATCCCTTCTACCGCTTGTGACGTAACCACTTGTAATGGTCAAGGCCAACTTTGTCCGCCGCTAACTTGTACAGAGTGAAGATATCTTTCAAACCATGCCAGAATGAGCTCAATCCAGTCAAGGACAGGAGAAAAACGCAAAAAAAAAAAAAACATGTAACATTGACCTGAAAATTTCCATGAAAATCTTGTTCCACGACCCGTCTTCTTCTCCTTTCGTATAATTCTAAGATCCTAAAAGTTCTCCTGAAAACTTTTCCCTCCAAAAAGAAGCCCACTAAATCCTCAGAAAAATAAAAACAATGAGGCAAAAAAAGGGGAAAAAGAGGGGAGGAGAGAAAGCGAAAAGTAAAAGTCAAGACTGCTTGGTCACTTGGGAACCCAATTTTGCTTTCTGCGCATGCCCGAACTTCCCAAGCTAATATCTTGCATCTGGGTCAGAAGGCTGCGAAGTGTACGACCTGTAAATGGCTTTATGGTACGTTTTACTTCTTTACTGCACGACATGGTGACCATGGAACCGCTCGACTAGCTTCAAAACGCGTTTCGGCAAAATTTCCAGGGGTGAATGGATAAAAAGCCGCAGGTTTTGAAAACTTATAAGAACGATTGAATAGTGTAGAGAGGTTTCTAGTCACTGTGCTGTATTATATCCTAGCTAATTTTATTTTTGAAATGACCGTATTTCCTTCATTGAGCCCTTTTCAGGGGCTTTTCTGTGTTTCAGTGCTTTCGCAGTAGGGGCTTATTCACTGGGAATTAATGACCAGCTGCGCCTGTTTAATGTTGTAGCCCATTATTAGATTTCAGTAGCCTCCCAAAATTATTCTTACTGAACCGGGACAGAAACGTTTTTTGGAATGGATGGAATCGAAAGCTTGTGTATTTAAGGCTGTCTTCACACTATACCGGAAAGCAGTTTCGTGCTGACGTGGACAGCTATCCTGTATAAGTGCGTTTGGTGAACTAAATCCCAATCCACACTATTGAATATTTACTTCTGTCTCAGTGGATTTCAGCCTTTTATCCTACTTATTACTTCTGCCATTGTCCGAATACCGTTCACACTGCACTAAAGTGTGGCCCAGAAACAAACAGATATGTGACGCTTCACTTTCGACATCAGCGCAGCGCAGCTTCGCCCCGTCAGTTGGAGATATCGCGCCGAAATCACCATTCTTATGTACATAGCTAGTGTGAGCAGGGGCCCTATGCGGCATGAAAAACTGTCCGGTGAAGTGTAAACCTTTCCCTAAAATTAGAAACCTCTTTTATGCATGTTCAAATTGGGAAAGACTGGACCGGTATGATCTCCTTTTTCTCTAAAACCGCTCAAATTATATTCCGAAGAAGTTTTGGATTCCTTTAAAAGGTCATTACATCAATGCAGGTAACTGCCAACTGTTGCGAAGACAACAAACGATATCTCGTCGGTTAAATAAACTCACGGTTTTAATTTTACGGCTCCTAAAACTTACATGTTCTGATAACAACTCATGACAACAACAAAAACCCGACCGCGTGTGAATTACAAAATCAGAGTAACTGTCAATCAAAAAAATGAAATCTGATCACTAAAAACTCACGCGTGCGATTGCGTGACGCGAGACTCGAAATGTCTTTTGTCCATTTCCCCCTCCCCACACTGGGAGGTAAGGATCAGTGTGATTGTTCGATAAAAGATTGAAACAGAAAACTATAACAACGAGAAATGTTCAGTGTTCTAACTTTCGTGCAAGGGCACCAGTTTATGAATTGGTCTAACGATGGTGCTTGCGCCACATTGGATCTTAGCGACTCTGATGTGGCCATCCCTTCCTGTATAAGTTTCGATGATGCGTCCTAGAGGCCATCGTCCTCTTNTTATGCATGTTCAAATTGGGAAAGACTGGACCGGTATGATCTCCTTTTTCTCTAAAACCGCTCAAATTATATTCCGAAGAAGTTTTGGATTCCTTTAAAAGGTCATTACATCAATGCAGGTAACTGCCAACAGACAAATGATTGGTCTATGGTCTATGGTAACATGATCATTCCTTTAAAAATGTTTTGTTTCATATGAACAGTTTTATCTAGGTTTCTGCGGCACAGGATATACGAGGGCAACAAATCAGGTAAAAAGGCAGCTCGGTTTGGAAGTTTAGTGATAAAATGAAAAACATTGTTGTTATATGAATTAACATTTTAAATACGCTCTAAAATCTTCGATTGCTAATAGAATTTTTGTGCAGCGCCTTTAAGGGATAATTAAGGCACTTTGCCGAGTTGCAAAAGAATAGTCAGTACTTCGAGATCAAGCTTTAATCTACGACGCTCTTTTTAGAAAAGAAAGAAAGAAATTAATCTACGATATACTTTAAGAAAGATAGTTTTCGAAGCGTAATTCGTACCACGATTCCACGATCGAGGAACGGACTGCGAAACACTCTGGGGTATGATTGTGATGTTCAAGATGGTGTAGATTAGGAACCGAATACTTCTTTTATCGATTTCTCGCGCTTAGGAACATGCTCAGAACGCAGAACACCCAACGACTCGATAAAAGGAGTGCCTCCATCGTCGACGTAAAACAAAAAAGTACGCGAGCTAAACGTTAACAATGTTCAGTTAACAAGGAGAACGAGAAATTAATTTACAAGTTTTCCAAACCTCTTTGTTTGGAATAGCTGAACCAATAATATTTTAAAAGAAAACAAAAAACAAAGAAATGAAAGACGGATTTTTTTGTGATCAGACCTAACTATCTTATTTAGCCGAGGGCTATAAGACCGTCAAATAGTATAATAATAATAAGCTCGTTTTTCGCCTATTTGACAGAAGGGAATCATCTTGGCCTACTGAATAGTGCGTCTGTTTTTTTTGTATCCACATTACACCAGTAATGGCGTGGTTTAATGAAAAACTCGCTCTGTTTCGATGGAGAACTTTAGGCTTTGTAAAAATTTATGCCAATCAATGTCAATACGGATATTTGGTTTTCAGAAATATTCGAGGCCTTATGATCTAATCCATTCTAGCAGCGAAATGTAAAGCCTAAAGAGAAATATTGGCTTGTAATTTCTGGTTTTATTAATACTAAAGGATTTGCCCAAAGTTTAAGGCACTGAATAATATATTACTTGGGATGACCTTTTGGGAATCAAATGGTGGCTTGAACAGCATGAATATCTACAAACTTTTACACACAAAGAAATTGTTTAAAATATTCATATGGATTGATGAGTATAGTATTAGTTATTTTTGGCATTAATAACGTAAGGTATTTCGCCGAATAACACGTAAATCCGTATAAAAAGCAAGCTGTAGCTGTGTTAAAAAGGACAGTGACGTTAAAAACAATTAAGCGTGACTTAATATTAAGATAAACATAAGTGTCGCTGCTCTCATTAATATTTAAAAAAATTCAAAGACTGATATTGCTAAATCTGAAAGTTGGCATGTGTCGCTCCCTGAACTGGGACTACTACATTCTCGCCACTTTTTATCATCACGCACGGTTTCTTACTCATGTGTGAAAAAGCCTGAAAATGTTGAAATTTACCAGGTAAGTGAAAGAACACATCACTCTGAACTAATTCTGTCGCGCAAAAGTTGATATCACTGATTCAGTAAATGATCTAATTTCAGTTGATAGAAAAGTGTAGAATAATCTCGAGTATCATTTATAAATACTTTTTATTTTTCATCTTCTCGCCAATGCTTTAAAGACGAAAGGAACCTGACGGTGTCATGGACAGAGGAACCTACACTAAATTGTCTCAAAATGATGTACCAGTCGAGCTTGAGGCGAAGAATGCGCCATTGACGGAACCTTCGGTAGATCAGGAGGCGTACCCGAGAGATGAAGGCCTGCTTATCGACTACGTCTTGGTGTACGAAACATGTAAAGAAGAGGAAGAAAAAGATCAAGAAACCAAGAAAGAGGCGGAGACATTGGCAAAGTTAAGAAGATCTTATGAGAAGCGACTTCAAAAGAAAGGTCTTATTCTACAGCACAAAACTATTACTGCAGATAAGGTATTCTTAATGATTAAATCAATGTTTGGCTTTTAATTATTTAATATCATGTGTTACTGTCAGTGAGCGTTGGTGAGTAGAGCCTCTTGTGGATCAAGACGATGGTTGTCTGTCAGGAGGTGATATATATATTTTCTGAAGTGGGGACTAAAAAACATGGCGTTTGAATAGAAAAAGTTTCTTACAGGGGTATTTTGACTGCGTAGTAAAACAAGCTCACTCGTTCCTAAAGGATCAGAGCCTGAATAATCACAGATAAACGCCATTTGGCCAATAAATGATGAGTCCAGTCTTAAAAGCCTATGTGCTTTTTTTCTTTCAATTTTAAACCGTGTATTCAGCACGAAATAAGACAATGCTCACATTTTGTACGTTTTGATCAGTAAGTGTACTCGTTACTCTGCTCATTAAAAACTTGCTTCTGACCAGTTAAAGTTTAGTAGTCAAAAATGGGAATGTTGTTTCAAAATTGCTGCTCAAGTAGTTATATGGTCTGTTGGAAATTTCAGGAAATAAAAATTTATCACTAAGGACATGAAAGTTTATAAATAACGTATTCAGTTTCTATTTTAGTTGTCCTTTCTCTAGTGCAATATATTACAGCATATCGGACAAGTGCTGCTTAGAGCTTTACTCAGTTAAAAACTGAAAGTTTTCTGTTTTACTAGAACTTCATAAAAAAGGTTATTGAGGCATACATTACATAAAAAATAGCAAGAGCCACTTCCACTTCTAACCCTTTTTAAAGAAATATCTAAACCATCATTATGCCGATGTCTCAGTTTCCACGATGTAAGAATGTGTAGGAAGACATTTGTCCTTGTATAGAAAAAATGCCGTCATAAGGGCTGCAGGATAATACAAGTAATAACTTTAGCAAGTATATTAAATAAGGGCCATTCATGCATCATAACATACCAATATAAGAGCATTGATGAAAGAAAAACAAGCGCTAGAGTTTTCCGGATTCCTGCATGCAAATACTTTCACGGCCTCATGATAATATGGTCTAATATGATCACTTGACCTTACGCCTTCATGAAATTTCGTAGTAAATTCTAAGGAACGAAAATATTCTATACTTTTGATTAACCTCTATCTAAAGAGTGTAAGACTGATTAAAAATACTTTAAAAACATCCTCCTTAATGGCCCTCAAAAAAGAAATTATTTACTGCAAAAGTTTTCTCAGTAGTGGCATTCTAAACAATTTACAAGTCTTTGTAAAATAATAATAATAATAATAATAATAATAATAATAATGATAATAATAATTTCTATAATGAAAGATCATTAAAAATGAAAAACGTTAATTATAGTAATTATTATTATCATTATTATTATTATTATTATTATTATTATTATTATTATTATTTTACAAAAAAAAAATAAAAAAAATCAATGAGGGTAAATTAGCATAAAAGAGAAATTCTATTATTAATGCCAAGATTACCACGAAAATTTTCAACATCAAAATAACTTTCTACTTGAAAACTGTCGACTATGATTCCATAAAAACATCGAATCAAAGGCAGTATCACTAAGTTTTCACTCCGAAACATTTTTAAGAAACAACAACAAGGCCAGTTGAACATATGAAAACGTTTATTCAAATTAATTAGACGCTCTCAGGATGTTTACTCGGGCTAAGATATTTTTAAATACTTAAAAGCGTTTAGGGATCTGCAAGAAAAAATAAAAGAATTAAATCAAAATGATTACGGAATAAGCAGGTTTCATGGTAGTCTTACAATCACGATAAGAAAAATTAAATAGTGTAATTCCCCTATTTTGTAATTTAGCGAAGATGGTGGTATATAAAAATAATTTGCTAAAAATATTCTTAGTTGGACAGCGTATTGCCACTGGTTCATTCGACTATTTTTGGACTACGGATTACTCCTGTAACACCTTTAGAATCAAGGTCCTGTTTAAATAGTCTGTTTTTCGTTACTAACTAATAAATGTTCGGCCAAAAAGCTCATTTTTTCTCGTTTCAAACCTGCATTTGACAATTAACTGAATTCTAACTTTGATTGTTTTTCGTCGGTAGGACCCTGTTGTTGAACGCCACTTTGTGTTAATTCACGCGACATGGGAAGTCTTATCTAGGCGGGCAGAAGAAATGAGCTTGAAAATGCCTCTTCAGAAAAATGATGTCCAAATTACTTCCTTTCTGGAGTCCATGTGTGGATCAGAGCAGATAGAAACGCTCAAGCGCTTGGATCCACTACGTATACATGATACAACAGTCAGAGAAAAGGGCGATTATTTTGTGGGCCGTTTCCAACAAGAAAAGTTAGAGAAGTTCTTAAACCACGAGGATAAGGAGATTTTTTTCAGTACCATAGATCGAATGTACATGGTCCAGCAGATCCTGAAAAATACCCGCTTCTCCAAAGAGCCTCAGTGCGTAGGTCTCAATAGGCTGGTCTTAGATGGTGCATACACCTCGCATTATCCTTTGGTGCTTCCTTGCCGCTTTGAACTCCTTCCTCTTAAGGGACACTTACTGGCGGTTGCGAACTTTTCACTGACCCGTTCTAATGGTAGATGTTTCAAGTACCAACCATACGAGGCCATCAAAGATTACTTCGGTCATGAAATTGGTCTGTACTTTGCCTGGCTTGGTTTCTACACGGCTATGCTGGTCCCACTCGCAATTGTCGCTTTGATTGTTGTCTTGTACGGCATCATATCTTCAAGCTCATACACTCCTCTCCGTGATCTGTGTGATGAAAAGAATGAAGGAGTCTGGTACATGTGCCCTCTTTGTGATAGACAGTGTAGTTACTGGAGCCTGGCTACTACTACTTGTCTCTATGCCTACATTACCCATATCTTTGACAACGATGGCACAGTTATTCTCGCCTTTGTTGCGTCTATTTGGGCCACCCTCTTTCTTGAGTTCTGGAAGCGTCGACAAGCAACTTTAGCGCAAGAATGGGACACGGAAGGTTTCGAAACTGAGTTCGAGCCACTTCGACCTGAGTATGCTAGGTCCCTCACTAAAGAAGAACTCGACCCATTCAAACCCGATCCAGACACTGGAATGATTGTGTTTAGAGATGATAAAAGGAAGCGCACTCGTCGTTTCGCAGTAGTCGCTAGCTTGATTGCATTTATGATTTGTCTTGTGCTTGCTGCCGTCATCGGCGTAGTGGTGTTTCGTGCTGCTGTTTTCGCTACCCTTAGTAGGAATTCAGAGCGAACTGTTCAGAAGAGGGCTCGAATACTGACAACGGGCATGGCGGCTTCCATTAATCTAGTGGCCATCACCGTGTTGAAGTACGCCTACAACAAACTTGCTGTCTGGCTGACCAACTGGGAAAATCCCGCAACTCGTACCATCTATGAGGACAAATTTACGATGAAAATGGCTCTTTTCCAGTTCGTAAACACCTTCTCCTCTATTATTTACATCGCATTCTTCAAGTCTGAGATAATAGTTGGCACGCCGGGAAGATACCGGAGAATTTTGGGGAAGTACCGAATGGATGGCTGTAGCGAACAAGGCTGCTTCTTAGAACTCGGAATTCAGATCGCGATTATTATGGTGGGGCAACAGATAATCGGAAACATTATAGAAATTGGCATTCCGTAAGTCTTTCCCTTAAAGTGCATATATAGCTGATTCAATGAAAGTTGTTTTGGGCATTGGGAATTGCGCACTGGGGAAGCTGTTGTTTGGCGGTCAGTCATTCAAACAAATCATGGCATTTGGTTCGATTCCGTATGCCCAAATGACCAATAGTAAAAGCAACCTTTATTGAATTAGGTATATACGGGTCAACTAAAGTTAGATGCTGCCCACATATCATGAGAGCTTTGTTAAATCAATCATTTTATTTATCATCGTGTTCATTGGAACCATCTCAGTAGACACGTGATGCATATTTTCTTATCTTCTAATTCTAACCTCATACATGAACTGTGGAAATAGTTTTGTGATTTTTCTCATTAGTTGGATATCGATTTTAACATTGGACTGGTTTTCGCGTTTTAATCTGATTGCAAACCTTGTAGCCAGTTTATATTTACCTGTCTACCACATAGAGCTCGGACCCACTGAAGTGCACCTATCATTGATGTTGGTCCCATGCAAAAAAAAAATTGTGATCATAATCATGTCTGCTCATCATAGACATAAGCATTATCAATATCTTTTCATTATTATTCATTCAAAATTTGTCGCCATTTCTGATTGGCTCCAGTCTCCCGGCTAATTCTTCACAAACAGTTGATAAGATAGAGTCTACAGCAATATTTACCGCAAAGAGGTCAACCTTATTTGAAAGATCCGGGGGAGCAATATACCACAGATTCGATGGTATACTGATTGGTATAGTTTCCATCACCTTCTAACACAGATATATCATCTATTATTTTAATATTAATATACAGATCGTTCATGCTCTGGCTCAAACGAAGGAAAGTAAAAGAGTTCACTGATCAGCCGCAATATATCAAGGACCACGAACTAAGCAGCTTAGAGGATCATTACTTATTCTGGGACTACCTTGAAATAGGTAAAATAAAATGTTGCATCTTTAGACGCAATAAGGAGACAAACCTCAGTTACCCTCATTACCCAGCTTCTTTGTTGAACTACTCGTTTGTTTACTACTTTTTTAGTTACTACTCGTCAAACCAGCCGCTTCCGCATGATTACATTTACTTTTACGTTCCTTAGCTACAACACTTACCAAAACAACCTGGCAGTAAAAAAATTCCCGAGCTACACCATTCAGGAGTGTGCCGTCACCTTGGTTTACAGATAAAGTTTAAGGCAAACTTAATTTCCGACTGAATATATATATATTTTTTTCAGTTCTTCAGTACGCCTTTGTCACCATGTTTGTTTCCGCATTCCCACTCGCCCCATTCTTTGCTCTCATTAACGCAGTCTTGGAAATTCGCGTGGATGCCATCAACTTTGTGTCGTATCATAGAAGGCCCCAGGTAGTGCGTGCTGAAGATATCGGAGCATGGTACAGTGTACTGGAAGCAGTGACCAAGGTTGCAGTACTCATGAATGCGTTCGTGTTAGCATTTACTTCTGATTTCATACCCAAGCTAATATACAGGTTGCAATATGCTCCAGACCGCAATTCACCTGGCGGGGGAACTCTGAAAGGATACATCAACAACAGTCTGGCTTCCATTGATCTTAAGACGCTATACAAGTGGGAGCCTGGGACCCAGCCTCTAAACCCTACTGCAAACGTTAATTACACCAGAGACTACTGCAGGTAAACTGCTTGTGTTAAAAGCCTCTGGTCTAATACTTATAAATATAGGAAGTGAATGAATTTTAGAAACACTGTCCACCCAATACAGGTTTTACCATTTTTACGTCTACCACATTTTTCAATTTGAAAATGGTACGGCCATTTGGTGTCGACTCCGGGGGACTCCTGGGCATGTTGCATCTCTTGTTCAACATTAGCCTATCTTGTTCAATATATGCTCAGAAAACTTAGGGATTTTCTTTATATATATATATATATAAATTAAATATTTACTCTTATTCTTTTGTTGATAATTCCCTCCCAAAAAATAGACTGGTACACAGTCCCTTACGATATGAATGCCGGAAATGGGTGGAAGGATGGAGTGTTCTCGATGATGCAACACCCTTGCTAGCCCCCTGGCCCTTCCTTACTCTTTGCACCCATTTTCAATGGCTGACAAACGAAAACCAACTGGTCATTTTTTCAAAAATTGATGTGTTTACCACAACTATTAACACAACCCGAAACTGCATGAAAATGTCTCTTTTCACTAAAAAATTCATGACGTCGCTCCTCTAACGTTTCCCTACCGATTTACTACAATTTCCAGTTACGTCAGTTACCATGACAGTACCTATCCATACAACTACTCCAAGGAATACTGGAATCTAGTTGCCGCCAGACTCGCCTTCGTGATCGTATTTGTATTTATTGTGTACTCGATCACCAGTATGATAGCATGGATTATCCCGGATGTCCCAGAGTATCTGAAGTTCAAAAGCGAAAGAGAAAAACAAGTGGTTCGAGAGAAACTTGGAAAGGCAAGTGATGATGAAGAGGAAAGTGAAGAGGAAGATGATCTGTCTGTAAAGGCAACGCTTGCTTCAGACATTTAAATCGTCTGCATCAAGAGCTATAAGGGGACTTGTTTCACAATCGATGCAGTACTTGCATGTCTGAGGTGCATGCCATGTTAAAAGTGGTTTCAGGGCAGATTATTCGTATCAGTCATTCATATCTCATTAATATTTCATGAAACTGTTTGATTTTTTTGGTTTGTCCAGAACAGGGCGGGGGGAGGGGGGGGGGGGNAAACGATGTTCTCACAACTTGCAAAGCGGTCACCCTGCGTGGTGGTCAGTGGATAATTGCACTATTTTTCCCACAGTAAATATTTTTAGACTTTTTAGAAGCAACAAGCGAACTGGCAGAGGAAATCAGAAATGCTTAAAAAACTGAAAAAATTATATGCATGCATCTTTGTTTTTCTTGCATATCGTATTTGTCTTTCGGTTCTGAAATTGCGCGGGAAACTAAAACGCAACCGTGTTAGATCTTAACCAACAACAACGCGGACGATCGACTTATTTATAGGTTACATCGTTTTTGCCGGGCAAGGATAACTTGATGCTGATAAAAATTACTGGAGCAAGTGTCACTTTTATCGGAAGCAAGTATATTCAAGAGAGCTTTATAACTATGAGCTTACAGCTCTACATATCATAACTGAATAAAAATTAACACTTCATAACATTTCACTTCGTTTATTTCGATCAGTCAACATCTTGAAGCCAAAATTAAAATTCAAACGATTCTAATAAACAAATCACAACTACTACTGACAGCTCTGTACCTTGAAGCGGCTTTAACTTTCCTAATGTTTGCGGTAAACGCTAGTTTTCATATCTCAAACCGCCCTTGGATACCTTGTGATGCCTACACAAAGTAATTGCATATATGTATACATATATGAGTGAGCCCTGACTATACACTATGTCTGAAAAGCGACATAAAATCAATAAATTTGCGAATTACAAATATAATAGTGAGAAACAGTCCTGCCTTCGACCGCCATGTTTTTGTTTCTTCTCAAGACCGTTGATCTATGGTTTTTCACGCAATGCGCATGATCAGTACACAAATCCGCTGGCAAGACCCTTGCTGATCGTTTTGCAAGTTGTGAGAACATCGTTTGGATTTCATTTAAGAGAATGTATGGGAAGTAGCTTTCCCCCCTCTGGTCCAGAAAGAACCAATGGGTTTTGATAGTAAGATAACAGGTATTAAAATATAAAAGCAAGGATGTTCCAAGAGTAATTATCTTAGGAGATAATTTAAAACATGTCATGGTCAATAAAAAATGGTGGTTACCTTTTTGGTTTGGGTACCGTTAGCACTTGCTTGCACTTAACAGGAAAAAAAACGCATTTTTTTATCAGTTAATCTTTTTCGGACTGGTTTTTGGGTTAATTAGCATTGCAATGGCTGTACGGAGTGTATTAAGAATAGGGTGACTGTTTCTCTCACACAGTGAATTCACCTGAAACAGGCGGCGTTTTCTGTTGTGCTTTTCGCAAGATTGCATAACAGAGGAATGACTTTCTTTTTCTCATCGCATTATTGTACAATCGGTCAAGTTCAGTGGAAAATTTAGGCCCAGCGCGTACGTCGAAACTGTAATCAAACCGCCACTACCTTTATATTTTTTTATATTCTATATCTCAACTATGGAACGATCAAGTTAATGCCTTAACGATCGTTTCGATGGACGGATTCGTTGTCCTGGAAAAATTAAAACATGATAAATAATGAAAGTGGATGTTGAGACTTGATAAAATTTCAGTAACCGTAAAATGAAAGAAATGTTTAAGCAACTCTTTTTTTCAGTTTCAACCAGGTAGAACTTAACAACTCTTTGAGTGATTCAAACAAGGGGGTGAATTAAACGCCTAAAAATTGTGTTGCCTTCTTGTATCCTATACTTATTTAAATATGATGATAGATAGAAAATTCTTAGACATACATGTTACCCTGAAATCAAACTCCATGAATGCTGTACATGAGTTGACAGATTGACTCACGCTTTCCACAAAACACTGGTGTTGTTAGGTTGTCGTCAAGAGTAAAAAGGGAATTTGGTATACCTATATACGAAGCATACGAAAATTCTAAAAGCAATTCAAATCACCATTAAATACGGAAGTACTTTAGCTTTTACTTGAGAAAGCACGATTTTAATAGTTACTCTCCCATGACTACTTTCGACGAGCGGACAACACCAGCAACAACGAAAATTCACAGTAATTTTTATTATCTTCTTTACATAAGTTAAAATTTGTCCTTTGATGGCTTCTTTAATTTCTCGCCTTTTTTTTTTTTTTTTCTGTCGATTGTTTTATGTCGTTTTACTATTTAAGTCGCATTTTTCGACTTTGAATGTCATTTCATGTTTTTTGTCATCCTCATTTCTCTCGTAGCCCCGTTGTCTGGTCATAATGCAGAGTGCTCCGTTTGCGAAGTGAAAGGGGAAAACCGAAAACAGTGCTATCATAAGAATAATTATGTGTGACTGATAATTGACGGGGAAGCAGTGTTTCTGCCTTCATGAAAGTAAAATTAATATTTATCGACTTCGAAGGCTGATACATTGCTACTCGATCGAAAATGCGTCAGTTAACTTCACTCTGAGACTAATACCACCACGACTTCTGGAAAAAAGTGATATTCAATTATCTTCTGTTTGTAAAAGTCAAACATCTTAGAAGGTTAGCTATGGATCTCAAAAACAAGAACGTAAACATTTATGCCCAGTAAATTCATGTTCCTGAATTATTCCATCTCATTTTGAAGCGAGACGTTGGACATTCTCGCTTTCCACTGTTTCTAGTCACGGTCGTCTCAGTCATCTCGGTAGGATTTTAAAACGAAGGAACTCTGTTGCTATGGACAGAGGAGCCTACGCTAAATTGTCTCAAGACGATGATCCAGTCGAGCCTGAAGCGAGAAATCAAGGAGCGTACCCGAGAGATGAAGGTTTGCGTATTGACTACGTCTTGGTGTACGAGACCTGTAAAGAAGAGGAGAACGAACACGAACATAAGAAGAAGGAGGCGGAGAAACTTGAAAACTTAAGAAGATCGTACGAGAAAGGACTTGAAAAGAAAGGTCTTATTATACGGCAAGATAGCATTACTGTGAAAAAGGTATTCTTAGTCTAAAATATCAATTTTTTTGGCTGTAGTAGCGCTCCCCTTTATGAATGTTCACGTTGCGGATCTTATTTAGTCCTTAATTTATTTTACTTATTACTTCATCTTTCGTTCACTCGGGTGCCATTCTCAGTTTAGACTCCTCAAATATAGTCCGTGAGTGAACTCTTATCAGATGATATCGAGCAAAACTGAGTCACTTTTTTTATTTGCAAGCATGCCAATCTATCTATCTAGACAAGACAATTAAGTAGAAGTCATTAATGATTATGGCGCGTTCCCTTAGCCACCTTTCCTGGACCAAGCATACCAGTTTTCTTTTTTTTGTTACAGGCTATCACGTGTCTTTTTTTTTTATGTCTCTTTGGTTGGTTTGTACATTGGAACTCCTATTAACAGAGGATCGCGGTATAGCCGTTATAGCAAATAATACCATTTATGCTTCATCATCTTCCTGGGCATATCAAGTCAATTGTTGATGCTGGCGGAGTCTTAATTTGTGCGCATGAGCTCTGTTTGCTGGGGTTTAAAATAATGAAAAATCCATACTTGGAAAAATTTGGCCAGTGCGTGGCCTTTTATTTGATTCAAACAAATTAAACTAGGAAGATCCAGATAACAACAACATTTTCCCAGCAAAGGTGAGATCATGCAGCTGTACCTGCCCTGGTCTGGAGAAAAGTAGGGCAAAGGGAGGGAAGAGAGGGAAAGATGTTTTCTTACTTCCTTGTCAGTCAAAGGGGGGGGGGGGGAAGGGGGGGTAAAATCCTTTGTACTTCCTATGTCAGCCAAAGCGAGGTAGGAGAATAGAAAATTTTTTTCTAACTTCCTTTTCACAGTTACCATGGAGAGGCTTCGTGCCACTCACTGTATATGTAGTTAGCCGGAGAAATGCAATATTCCGCTTCTTCTTTAAGCAGAAAACCGGATTTTATATCTAAAAAAAAATAAAGAATGACACACCAGATAACAAAACTAGTTACCCCGCAAAGGGGAGATCATGCAGGGGTACCGCCCCGGGGCTGGAAAAAAGGAGGGGAAAGGGGGGGAAGGGGGGGAAAGATGTTTTTTTACTTCCTTTTCAGTGAAAGGGGGGGGGGGGGAAGGGAGGGTAAAATCCTTTGTACTTCCTATGTCAGCCAAAGCGAGGTAGGAGAATAGAAAATTGTTTTCTAACTTCCTTTTCACAGTTACCATGGAGAGGCTTCGTGCCACTCACTGTATATGTAGTTAGCCGGAGAAATGCAATATTCCGCTTCTTCTTTAAGCAGAAAACCGGTTATTTCATTTTCTTTGCCCAGTGAAATGTATGAAAAAAAACCCTACCAGATACAAAGACCTTGATATTATTTCTTCCTGATTGTCTTGTTATGCTAAACCTACTACCTCTGAATTTCTGGTTCTGAAAGAACTGGACTTCTCTGTACTTCGTCGTTAAGGCATACCAATGACTCAATCATGCAGTAACTGATGAAGTAATGCAATAAATATATGAATAAATAAATAGATACAAATAACTAAACTTCTTTACGTGAGCAGAATTTCTAAAACCCTATTTGTTTACATTGTGAACCGAAACTTGCCTAAAAGGAATTAAGACAACTATCTAAAATAACAAATTGTTACCAAAGAGAGTAAGATGGATAAAATGGATTGATACAGTGACTGTTAAAAAATGTAATGTACGTGTTACAATTCTAACGAGCTACTATTTTAAAATTTCCCAGTTCTACCGTGTAGTCTAACATCATATTCTTAAGGAGTTTTTGGCTGGTTTTTATACTCAAAGGTGAGTTCCACTTATGAGAAAGATCGTCGGCGTTGATTTCGAGCGAAATACTATTTGATTTAACACATTCTCGATCGACAAGAGTTATAGCAGTTACAATGGTTTTTTTGTCAATAACAAATTCCATATTTTCTGGCGATGATGCCATTGAGAGCAAACTACCACCTGCTGCGGCTTTACAACAAAGCAAAGGACGCAAGGGAAGCCTTAATATAAAGGTCATCTTGAAATTTCATAATACTATTGGTGGTTTTTAATGCCGTGCCATCAAACATAAAATGAAATCGTTCCATTCAAAACACAAAATCCAGAATCCGGGAAATGAAAGGAGATAAACATGAAAAAAGCCTCTCCAAGAATAAGATCTGTGTGATTTTCCTTATGCGAGATTCTTGGCATTGTATGGAGACGACATGTTAGTGTCCAAAACATGGCAGCCGGAGACCAACTGAAACACCTGTGTGAATTTTGCTAAAAAGGTGTGAACTCACCATGGCGAAGTTATGAAGGTTGAAATTATATTAATTCTGAGACAACTAAGGATTATTCACATAGCGAACTTTCAAAAGATCGCTGACTTTTTTTAAACCTACATGACAGCTTCCTCGCCCTCGCAGCCACCAAAATGCCACGTCACAAAAAGGCTTCGAAATTCAAGCGTATTCTGTCGCAAAACGAAGAGCCCTTTCGAACCGAAACCTGTTTAGCTGCAGCAATAAATCATGAAAACAATGAATTGATATTCTTTAGCTACAGAGGAACCTCCATTCAGACAACACCATCGGCACCAAGGCAAGTCTACATTGAATAGAGGTTCGGCTGGGGTTTGTTGATAATTTAAACTAACAGATAAAATAATTGTCTTTTTTGTCTTCCTCGTAATCTGCTGCAGCCATAATATTTCAAGGAGTTAGATAATGTATAAAAAACATGATTAGATTATCTCCTCGATGTTGTGTGTTGAATTCCTTCAAGTGCAGTACATTAATTTACGTGAGATAGTTCATGTTTTGAAAGCTGTCGCCATTGTTACTAATGTACACTTAAACTTATAAATGTTTTTTGTGCCCAGCCACTTTCTGAGTGCTGAGGTGTCTCCTAAGTGGAGGTTAAACCTTGGTTTCGGAACCTACAAAGTAAAAAGTGCCCCATTCCCCTGAATAAGAAAGATTATGTGAACATTTTTCAGGAACAAGTTTTTGTGTCCCCTGAATGGAGGTGTCTCAAAGGAGAGGTTCCATTGTTGCTGAATTTTGGTGACGTCAAGTGAAAACCAAGAAGAAATTTAGCCAAGCCTTTAAGCTAAGGTTTTGCTCATATGCTGGTAATTTACTTAAAACAATTAAGTGTCGAGAACAGTTGACGTAAATTTCCCTTATCACTGTCTTTAGGGCCCTGACGTTCAACGCCATTTTGTGTTAATTCATGCGACGTGGGAATTTTTGTCTAGGCGGGCAGAAAAGATGAGATTGAAGATTCCCCTTCAACCAAACGACGTAGAATTTCCATCGCTTTTGGAGTCATGGTGTGGTCCAAAACGAATTGAAGCCCTTAAGCGTTGCGATCCATTACGTGTACACGATGCAACAGTCAGAGAAAAGGGAGATTATTTTGTGGGCCGTTTCCAACAAGAACAGTTGGAGAAGTACATCAACTACGAGGATAAGGATATTTTCTTTAGTACTGTAGATCGAATGTACATGGTCCAGCAGATCCTGCAAAATACCCGCTTCTCCGAGGAGCCTCACTGCGTTGGTCTCAATAGGCTGGTCTTAGATGGTGCATACACCTCGCATTATCCTTTGCACGAAGGAACGGCGAAACTTGAGGAAGGAGAATTCCCTGTGAATGACCGCCAACGCTTGAAAAGTGACTGGGCAAGATTATTCGGCCATGAAATTGGTCTGTACTTTGCCTGGCTTGGGTTCTACACGGCCATGCTGGTTCCACTCGCTATCTTCTCTTTGATTGTCTTCTTGTACGGCATCTTATCTCTAGGCTCGTTTATTCCTGTTCAAGACGTGTGTAACGAAAGGAATGAAGGTGTCTGGTACATGTGTCCTCTTTGTGATAGAGAGTGCAGCTACTGGAGCCTAGCTACTACCACTTGTCTCTATGCCTCCATAACTTACATCTTTGACAACGATGGCACCCCTGTTCTCGCCTTTGTTGCGTCTATTTGGGCCACCCTCTTTCTTGAGTTCTGGAAGCGTCGACAAGCCTCTATAGCCCAAGCATGGCACACGAAAGATTTCGAAGCTGAAGACGAGCCACTTCGCCCCGAATATGTCAGTTCTCTAACCAAAGAAGAACTTGATCCATTCAGACCTGATCCAGACACTGGCAAGATAGTGTTTAGGGCTAAAAGAATGAAGCAGAATCGTCGTTTTGCAGTGGTTGCTAGCGTGGTCACATTCATGATTTGTCTGGTGCTAGCTGTTGTGATCGGTGTAGTGGTGTTTCGTGCGGCTGTCTTTGCCACCCTGAGTAGCAGTTCAGAGCGAACTGTTCAGAGTAGTGCTCAAATACTGACAACGGGTATAGCTGCGTGCATTAATCTAGTGGCCATCACCGTGTTGAAGAACGCCTACAACAAAATTGCTGTTTGGCTGACCAACTGGGAAAACCCTAAAACTCGTACCATCTATGAGGACAATTTCACAACAAAAATGGCTCTTTTCCAGTTTGTAAACACCTTCTCGTCTATTATTTACATTGCATTTTTCAAGTCTGATCTTATTGTTGGCACACCAGGAAGATACACCAGGGTTTTTGGAGAGTATAGACTGGAAGGCTGCAGCGAGGAGGGATGCTTCTTAGAACTCGCCATTCAGATTGCAATTCTCATGATCGGCTTGCAGATTGTCTCCAACATTCTGGAAGTTGGCATTCCGTAAGTATCCCTGGAAATGGGAAGATATATACAGTTAAGAATTACTGTATTTTTGGCGGTGAAACTGAGGTGATGGCCGTGTGTAGTTTACTCGTCTCTTGGCTCCGCTTAAAAAAAATAAGGTAGTAGGGTAAGGGTACGCGACAACGGTTTAGATCTCTAGAAATGCATTCTAAAAGGTGCTTTAAAATTTGTATTTTTTCAGTCATCCTAGCTGAACTTGAGTCTTTTTGAACAGTTACAAGGGCTTCAGTATTATTTTCCCGAAAATTTTTAGCCGCAATTTAACATACTAGGAAAGTGAGAATTTTTCTGATTCCTCTCTCCATCGCATTTTTAAATGTGAAAACTTAAGGTTTCCTTTTTTCTATGAAAAATAGCCTAACCCTGGGAGTGAATTGTGAAAAATTAAACTTTAGAAAATCGTAGAAATTTATAAGATAAGCTTCGAAAATTGTGCATGGAATGATAATCTTGAACTTTTTAGCTGTCCTCAAGTAATAGAAAATTCTAGGCAATATTTGCTTCTCCGAACAGATATGATAGAGAAAACAGTCGTTCGGTGCCCCTGAGTAACTACAAGGTCTGAATTTCAAAAGGCCAGATTTTACCCTTCGCCTAGGGCTGTGCACATGCGTCAAGCATTTGCCTTTCCACGGGGATGGTAGTGTGTACCTTCTTGCTGAATTTGGTCTTGATTTCCACAGTATGAAAATTGCCTGACGGATTTGCCTAGTTTAATAAACAATTAAATGCGAAATGGATGCCTGTATGGGACGTGAATTTCGTTTTCGGTAGATAATTATTGTCTTCTTGTGATCTTAAAGTCAAAGTCTAAGTCTTGGAATTTGCTGCTTCAATGAAGCAGCCCAGACACTTTTCAGATGTCGTGTGTATATTTTTTTGGTCCAGATTCATTGCTTTTCTTGAAGGGTTCTGTCTAGGGTATTTGAGGGGTACCAGCTTCCCCCAAAAAAATATTGTTATCATTACAGTATATAAGTAGCTATATCGGAAAAATTATCCAGAAGTGACGAGGTCATGATCAGTGCACATGAAGTAAGTATTCCTTGTCTAAGGACACCATATAAAAAGAACGTGTGGTCACAAGTAAAAAATAATTAAATAAAATGCCACTGTAACATAAGTCTCAAAATTGTGTCTCAAAATACACCAGATTACATCTCAGCGCATATTCATTTCAAAAAAATGCCGGGGAGCATGCCCTCGGACCCCCCTAGGAAGCTCGTGGCCACGAGGGACTTCTTTCCCAAAGGATAAATCCCAGAAAGAGCCCTGTGTTGTATTATTTTTTCCCGGCAATTCCCGGAGTCAAGTGACTTTTACAACATTCGATATAGATAGGACATTTTTGTACTAAAATATCTCAATCCTTCTGTTGAAAAACCCTGGAATCATTCAGTTTAAGAAAGTGCGCCGGACACACTAAGTGAGAAAAAATGCCTACATATAAAAAATCAATGAATGTTCGTCACCATTAACTCTAGTCACAAGGTCCACACAAATTATAGTATTGGGCCTTGTATGCGATATTTCACGCAACAGCTGTGGAAGCGAATAGTAGAGACAGCTTGGCCGATCCTTGAGGTATGGAGAAAGGTCAACCAAAAGAAGAAAGGGGTCATAAAATTAAATCGTTTACCGAGAGACAGACCATTGACGTTAACAGGAAAATCAAGGAGGCATTCACATAAAACGATCCTTAGTAGAGATGACGGTTCTGCACTACCTGTGATTTTTAGCCATAAAAGAGTTTTTATGTAATTGCTTACTTCAGTAGTATTAAAATCGTAATTGTTTTCGTTAGATTCTTTTCTTACTTAATCTATGTCTTTTTCTTTGGAGTACAGATGGTTCAAGCTATGGCTCAAACGGAAGGAATTACAAGAGATTAGTGACCAGCCACAGTATATTAAGGACTACAATCTAAGCACACTTGAGGATCATTACCTATTCTGGGACTACCTTGAGATAGGTAAAATGAATAAAGAAAATGAAATATGTAGCAGCAAAAAAAGACAACCTGGTAACTGATAGGTGCTTTATGCAAAGTGCTCGATTTTAAAAGATGACGCCTTGAAATGCATATGTCGGTTCTCCTCAGGTCATCATTTCGTCACTTTGTCGTCTTGGGTATTGGGATAGGGGAGAAACAATACCCTTTACTAACCGAAAAAAGGCCTCGGAAAAGTTGTCTTACAGGAGGTTGTACTTAAAATCAAACGCCCGGCCGTCCCTCCCCGCCCTTGTCTATCAGATACTCTCATTGAAGCCCATGCAAACACAAATCCACGCTCAAACATCCTCCTGTTGGCGGAGGGGTTTTTGGAAGTAGATTTCACTCAGCTTCTATTCCAAATAGAAGAAGAGAAGTACATTCATCCGTTAATTAGTACCGGAAGTAAAACCGACCAACAAACTAACAGTCTTGCTACGCTGTTTTCAGTTCTCCAGTACGGCTTTGTAACCATGTTTCTTGCCGCATTTCCACTCGCCCCAATATTCGCTCTTATAAACGCAGTCGCGGAAATTCGGGTGGATGCCATCAACATGGTTTCATATCACAGGCGGCCCCCGGTAGGGCGTGCTGAAGATATCGGAGCATGGTACAGTGTACTGGAAGCAGTGACCATCGCCGCAGTGCTGATGAATGCCTTTGTGTTAGCATTCACTTCTGAGTTCATACCAAGGCTATTGTACAGATTGAAATATGCTCCAGACCGTAATTCAACTGGCGGGGGAACACTTAAAGGATTCGTCAACAACAGCCTTGCTTCCATTGATCTTAAGACGCTATACACGTGGGAGCCTGGGACCGAGCCCATTAATCCCTTTGCGAATCTTAATTACACCAGGGACTATTGCAGGTAAGATGCTATTCTGCTTGGTTTATTTAAGTTTTATAATCGCAACACTGTTATCTCAGCACTAATGAAAGAATGGATTACCTGGCCTTTTATGCTCAAACATACCTGCAAATTTATACTCTCGCAATAGCGAAGCGGGGTGTGCGAGTGTGGTGAAGCGGAATGTGCGCTTGCGTTATAACTATAACTTGCCTGGATCAAACGTGAACATATCAGAAAAGATCTTCAGTCCTAAAAACCCTTAATATAACTTTGTTTAATTGTTATGTTAATTGGACCTCGATACCTTGATTAGATCTAGAGAATGCAAAATTATCAGACCAACCAGCGCCAAACACTCAGACACAAAACCTCTACTTGGCCAGCATCTTACGCATACACACAGCCATGAGCCCACTGAACAACAATGGACATCTGTTTTGAGCTCATTTGGGTCATCAGCATGACTGCAAAGGGGAGTGCAAAGAACTCCTTTAAGCGTCAAATTTCCCAACAAGTATAGGAATGTTGACCGGAAAACGCACGGCAGTTCTCCCATGATGATACTCCGGGAAAGTGGATCAGTATTGTTGCCGATCGGTGTGCCCTTAAATTCTAACCTAAGAAGTCTGATACCACGCCTTCTGGCTTACAATCGTTTCCAATAAGGGGGGGCAAAACCTTAGTGGGCAGCTTCACCCTCCCTTCTCAACCCGTTTAAACTTTAGAGGGTCAAATTTATTCACTTGCTACTTGTTTATGGGTTTACTCAGTTATTCCAGTTACCGTGAAAGTACATACCCGTATGGTTACTCCAAGGAATACTGGAATGTTGTGGCCGCCAGACTCGCCTTCGTGATTGCCTTTATATTTGTTGTGTACTCGCTCACCAGTATGATAGCATGGATTATCCCGGATGTCCCCGAGCATCTGGAGTTCAAGAACCAGAGAGAGAATCAAGTTGTTCGCGAAAAACTTGGAACGGCAAGTGAAGATGAAAGTGAGGAGGAAGATGGTCGTTCAGCCAAGCCAATACGTGCTTCTGACGTCTATTAATGGGATGAAATTTATTATATTTGTTGTCCATTGTTTTGTGTGTCCCTGGTGTGGTTCAATTTTGATTTACTATTCATTCAAAATAGTTCTCCGCTTTTGATTGGCTCAGATACCCTGACTAATTCTTCATAACAAAAAGGCACTGGAAGATGTAGATAATACATAATCGATAAATATGCGTTATTGACCAAGTGTGAGGTCAAGATGGCTGAATATTAGTCAATTAATAAAAACTCAAAATAATAATGAGGCCAATATACAGCAACCTCGACCGAACAAGCTTGGTCAGAAAAAAAGAATCTTTTCTTCCGGGACCAACGTGGGGAATACCCAGCGGGCTGGATGGGCCCATCAGGGTAGCCAATCAGAACACAAAGTTTGCTTCATCTTGCCCACTCGTGGATTCAGCCATACAATAAGATGGTATTTTGACCTAATATACAATCACAATCTCGTTTCCAGGCAGTGGCGGGGAAACCTAGTTGATTTGGCCCTGACTGAACTCACGAAAATGGCGAAGAGTCTATGGCTGTCCATAGACGAGATAGCTGAATTATACTGACTACACCTGAACGGAAAATCGATGAAAAAAAATCACCAGATAGATATCAAATTTGAGCAATAGAAAACGTTTTCCGTGTTTGCGTAGCCCGACAGTAAACAGTAGAGGGTGATGGGAGAATTCGAGACGGTTATGCAAACCCGAGACAAAGTCAAGGGTTTACATAATCTTTACTGCGCTTTTTAAAAACACGCAAACTCTGAAGTTCAAAAGCCAACTGAAGTTTGCGTTATTCGCTGCCGTCAATAATCTCAGCGGACCTCTTAGGACATAGGACTTTACTTAAACGGGTGCAAAAGGTCATTGTTTGTGATTTGTGCTTGGTGGATTTCACTGATCAGTTTTGTGTGTTTCTGAGTTTCAAGGTTCCTTTCTTGTGATCGTAATTATGATTGATGGCAGCGAAAAACACGATTGTGACACAAGCACATGTGTAAGCAAGTGAAAACTGGGTCGACATAAGCATAAGTGTAAGCACAAGAAAATTGTGCATATGTCGTAGCTTTGACTAGTGAAAACTGGGTCGACATAAGCACAAGGCCGTGAACCAACCATAGGTCACTTTGACCCAGACCTCATGCGGACATATAAAAAGCAATTTAGCGGACGCTTCGTCCGCCACCTTGTTTATCATCGGGTTGAGGAAAGCTGATATTGAGAATTAAATCAACTATGCTATTCTGCTTTTGTCCTTGTGCTTAAGGTGATGTTACACGGGACGATTGGCAACGACGATTTTTATTGCAACACAGTGTTGCAATGCTGGAACAATGTAGTAACCATTCGAAACAATGTCGCAATAATATTGAAACGCTGTGTTGCGCTAAAAATCGACAATGTAAATCGTCTCATGTGACATCACCTTTATGCTTATGCGTACTGGACACCCTATGTAAGGTAATCCATTTATGCTTGGAGTTCGCGTGCTTGCGAAAAGCGCA